TCGTTGACGTCGTCGTCGTCGTCGTCGTTGTCGTCGTCGTCGGTGATTTGATACATCAAGTTGGCGACTTTGCATATTCACCACAAGCACAAGTTGACTAGTTTTGCTCACTCATACACTGTCCACTGAATGTTCGCATCAGCCAGCCACGCAACAACACGACACCACAGCATTAGGAACAGCACAAGCACAGCACGGCGACAACAGCATAAACGGTGAAGAACAACAAGCAGGTACAACACGGACCGCAGCGGGCGCCCCTGTAATGGCGCCTGTGGCGATCCAACAATAACAACAACATTATTACAACAACACTCCAACTACTCAATAGCACTAAACCACAGTAGGAGTCAGACTGGCGCAGCCGCCTCCAGCAGCAGCATCATCAATCAGCACCACCACTAAACTGAGACAAACCGAAGGTCCGATTAGCCGTTCCGCCGACATTCACAGCAACATGACCGTCAACAACCGGACCGTGCTGATCATCCCCACCCCACCCCACCAGCCCTCCCCCTTTTTAGCGACCTCCCACTACCACGTCGTGCAGCTTCAGCACAGTCATAGCTGCGCACGAATATCGGCGTCATCAAAGGCGCTTGCGGCGGCGGCAGCAGCAGCATCGTGACAACGGCATCATCACAATTATCATTCCCATCATCACCAGTGTCATTTCTAATATCACCAGACCACTACAATAGCAGCTAGTCGTAGCAGCAGCGACAGTTTGTTGCCGCTCAGCCGACTCTATTACACAGTTGCTACGGCCAATGCGCGCGCGAGCGAGCACAACTATTGTTATTTTTGCTCGCACTCGCCGTAGAGGTTGTTATTGTCATGACAATAACAACTAAACAATCATGTCGCTGCCCGGTTGCTACAGCTGCTCCAGTCAGCGGCGTCAGCGCGGTCAGCCCAACGACGTCCATTGCATCAACCTTTTTCCCTGTGGTTGTCGTCATCATTGTCGTTATTGTCACCGTCGCGCCGTTCTCCAGTCCGTCCATCCGTCCATAACGCCAGGAACAGCGTGTACACGCCGCTCTTCAGCCACCGCTATCAACGTCGATGCCAAGATCGCCGCTACAAACGAACTCATAATCGGTCAGCAAGCAACTAAACAAGTAGGCAAGTAGGCGACGACCGCGGCTTTAGGCAGCGACTAACAACAAGAGTAGGGCCGCTTGAACAACTGATGCAGCTGCCGACGCTGTCGATGCCAACCACAAGAACTGGCCAATAGCAAAAGTAGCAGTGGCTACTGGTACTGCTGACTCCACAGAACGGAGAAAGCGAGCGACGAAGACGCTCGCTATAGACTCTGTAGGCGCCCGCCGGACGGATGGCACGAGCAGTAGCGTAGAACGTGGCCGCGAGGAGCGGATTTACCACGGCCACAACAACAAAGTGAAACATAACCCAGCCGACAAACAATGACGAGTACCGGCAACAGCGTCAAAAATAGCAGCAGCAGCAGCAGCAGCAATAATAGCTGCGTTACTTACCGTAGTAATTCTACCAGCTACAGTGGCATCAGTTAGGAAATAGCACCTTCACAGCAGTGGCGGGCGGGCGGGCGGTAGCAATCGGTATGAGGCGCAGCGTATGTGACAGCACTACCAACACAGCGAAAGAGAACTCCACTATCCAGGACACAGAGAGGTATACGAAGCAAGGAGTAGGGCGATTAGCAGTCGTAGTAACAACACAGACATCAAGAGCGCCGCTCACGAACAGAACAACACAGAACCAGAAGATCAACACACGCAGTTGGGGACAAGCACACAGACACACGCATACGCACACACCCAGCCAAAATGCAAAGCACAGCGCAGCGCTTTAGCGGCTGCGCCAGCTGCACCAGCAACTTGAAAGAGACCAGGAGGTCGTTGGTTGGTCGCTTGGGCCTAGCGGCTGACTGCTGCTGCTGCTGCTGCTGCCGCCAGCAGCACTCGACGGCCGCTGCCGCCGCCAGCGGCAACTAGTTTGTCCATCAACGAGGACCGATACAGACCCACCATATAGACATCCACCGTGCCCGGCAGCACCCGTTGCCAGCCATGCAAAACACAAAGCACCGTCCGCACGCATGCACACGGCCACTACAAGCAGCCACTCAGCAGCCGTACGCATCTACAACACAGAGTAGCAAACCGAGTAACTGCTGCTGCTCACGCAATGGCTACCCAGCCTGCAGACAGCCATCTACTCGGCCACAGATGAACGGCCACCAAGCGATACGTAGGTAGGTAAGTTGGTAGACACTGGACAGAGTCTATGGCTAGGGTAAGCACAGAGAGACACTCACGGGCACAGCCAATGACACACGAGCCCACACCCCACTGGGCAAGCACACTCGCAGCCAGGACAGGGACACTGGCTGCCGGTGACGGCGCCGCCGTCACCGGGAGCAGCAGCAGTGCTGTTGGCCGTCGTCTCTTTGAATCTCTGGGTCTCTGGCTAAAGACGAGGGCTGCCGCGGGTTTTTGCTAGGTTGTGGCAGCGCTGTTGGCTGCTGGCCGTGTAATTGCGACCATGGCCGCCCCATTGGATGAATAGCCAAAGAGCAGAACAGACGGCAACAGCAGTACAGAGCCAAGATGGCGCCCGCGGTACACACACACTGGTTTAAACAGACAAATCCAATTTTTGTCGGGACAAGCGCAGGAAACTCGCCGGCCCATCATATTGTCCAGAAATGATAATGTTGTCAGTCGAGGGTTTTGAAACGGGACGACACTCGCAGAACGGCTGGTAGCATATATAAGTTAGGCCTACAGATTATCCGAACACTGTGTCGAGCGTCATCACAACCATATACATTCGTACACAAACACACACACACAGCCAACCAGACGGCCATACAAACCACCTATATATACATACATTGATAAGGGGTTGGTAGAACATAAACAGAGAGCGTATGATCCCCTGTACTGTAGTACTGGCAAGAGCATACGTAATTATCGAACATGCCCAACGCATCCTTCTCACTCGACGAAAGCAAATGTATTTTTAATGATCGCTGATCGAAGCTCGAAAGACTTGGCAAGTCCGTGCACAAATCGAATAGCAGAACACGATTTGCAATGACAAAACACTCCATTGGCGCGTATTCCACATTAGCCAAATCTAAACTCTACAGCCAGTCGACCCATATCACATTTCGTTGTTACTGTTATTGTCACACGACTTCAGTAGACGTTTGTCGACGTAGCTGGCGCCGCGCATCGTCATCATTAGCACTACCACCACTAAACAACTGTTAAAACCACCCAAATTCAGTATACGCTGTATAGCCAATAGCTCTGGGTTGGGTTGGGTTTGCATTATAAACAAAGCGCGGCACCATTTTGGTATTCGATGGTATCCAGTCATCCTCATTCTTGTTGCATTGTCCATTTTGTCGTCGTAGACATATCGATTGTAAGCAAGGCGCGCTGACCATTCGATCAAACGAAGACCTGCCGCGGCCGCCGCCGTCGCCGTCGTCGTCGTTGATGTCCCGACCATCGTTATTGCTGCCGTAGCAGTTTGTCTCGTTCAAGCGCGCCTAACACAATTCTTGCATCGCTAGATTACGTCGCTGGCTCTTCTACTGAGTTCAGAAGCCAATTAGATGACCGTAATAGCAGAAGCACAGGCGATATGCGAATGTATTCGAGTAACAAAATGGTTGTCTTTAGTCCCGTAGTAGCCAGTTGCCTTCTGTAGCAGGTGTTAAGGTTGTTAACATTGTTTCAGCGTTTTAAAAACTACCGCTGGTAATGTTACGAATTCCATTTAATGCTGCGACGAGTTCAGACGCGCTCTGTCTTACCGAACGAAGATCTTTTACTTCTTCAGCGTCGGTTGTACGCACACATCGACCAAACGATTGGAAAGGTAGTTGATACAAGAAGCGGCAGCCACACTTTACTGTTCAGGCTTGTAGCGCCAACACCATCATCATGTAACATGAAAACTGGTGAACTCGAGACGAAATAAACACGATTATTCTTTTTAACCCTGTGATAATGAAAGAGCACTCGCGATTCGAGGTGATCGAACCTGACGTTCGTACTGAAATTCGGCCACCGCAAATTCACCATGTAAGCTGATGATTTCACACGTCGGGTTTCACGTTGAGACACACAATCATACCACGGGTTGATGCTGGCTAGAAGACGCAATAAAAACATCGATGAATCGAGAGACTAGCGGGTCTAGTGGTAGAAATACGACCACCACCAGCCAGATCGAGCCAATCCATAGTCGACCAGTTGTTTGCTTTTGCTGATGTAAAACAGACAAACACCTTAAAACGCGCTATTTCCTCAAGGTACTTACCTCCCAAATGATGCACTGCCTCCCCGGAGCCTTCACACGAACAACACCAACAGACACCACCTGCACGATAACTGTCTCTCTCGTCAACTGTATAATTGAGCAAAATCTCGCTGAAAACAAATAACCCTCCGAGCGAGTTCACATATTTGACCGCAGATCAGCGCTAACAGATCGGTGCGTCCAGCTCTCAAGCGAGCTGTAACGCGGCACGCTCGCAGCGACCCTTGTGGCGAGCCTTGAAACTAGCGAAAAACGAAGGTCCCTAATTTATCCGACCGTTTTTTCTAGAACGCAGCACGACGAAAAAATTGCACAAATGCATCAAACTTGCTCTACTCAACCTAGCCCAATAAAAGACCGGGTTTTCTTCTATCAATTAACTTGAAATTGCTTTTTTCGGGTTGCCGTTGTCCGAACTGCGTTGCAGACAAAAATTTTCAATGAATTGCTTTTTCCCGCAAAATTTTCTCAGCGCCGAAATGCTGTACTCAATGAAAGCTTTTCTATGATAAAATCAGTTTTGGATGATGAAAATGTGCACGAAAAATTCGTCCGGAAAACGCATTTACATAGCGACACTCCGCTAAACAGACGCACTGCCCGCCAATACACTCACAATATATACACAATCTTTACTGCGGATCCCTTCGGTGCTGCCACTGGAGAGAGCAGAATAGCCGTAGTTGTTGCGCCCGAGCTGGCGTTGTCGATGTTGTTGCTGCCGTGAACCGCCAGGGTCTGACCCGCTCGAGATGGCGGCCGCTGTCGCAGCCGGCGCTGCTGCTTCGGCGGCTATTATCTTTGCCACCACTCTGTTGTTACCACCTGCAGGGACTCACAACAGCGGCTGATCATCTGGCAAAGATCAACATCTTGCGACAGTCCCGTCAAAGTTTCGGTCGCTGTTTGTTGCCCATTACTAGTACCTCTCTACTGCTAGTATTAATAACACAGCAAAATCGGCCACCTGCATAGCATTGCAGCAGTGTCCCCGCAATAGCGCAGTGCTGACGTGCTTGCTTACTAAACTTCAGGACACGTGGTTCCCTGAATTCGAAACCGGGCGTAAACACACTTCGGTTCGTGTTAGGGGAGGCCAGTCGTCTAAGACGATGGCACTAGCAAACGTAAAACTCGAAACATGTATTTAGCATGGCAGCAGCGCGTCCCGTAGCAGACAGGACCTGCTCTCATAAACAGAGAGCAAGTGAATAGCAACGAGTGAGGAAGGGAGGGCGAAGGCAGAGAGACGCAAAGCGACGAGATTTACATAGAAGATTGTCGTGCTGCGACAGCAAAACCTCCGATAGCAATAGCAGTCGAGTGAGAGGTGAGTGTATGTATTCAGAACAAGCAAGGCCCGTAAACCTCGTTGAGGTGGCTGTGCGATAAAACCGTTTGTTTGTGCCAACTAACCATTCACCAATGCGCTAACCAGCTGTACTGCCTGGTTCTTTGCTTCGCGTTTTCGTTTCTCGTGCAGTTGGCGGGTCGGTCCATTGGGGGTGGCCCGCAGCCGGCCGTAATCGTTGGTACTCGCTTGGGTGATTCAATTGTCCAGCAATAACAGCAGTTGAATGCGGAGCTGCTACAGCAGCAGTATCAACAAAAGTCGTCCATGTTGTTGTTGACTAGTTGCCTGGCTAGTTCTTTGCTTATTCAGGCTAAATCCGTTGACGACTGGTAACCATTGGTCGAGTGCGTTGTGAGAGATCTCGCTTTCGATGCCGGCGACTGCGCCGGCATCATTACAGACGTGCAACGATAGCGTGGATTTCAACAAGACGTACGGATAGTAATGGTAATAATGCGGGGCTGACGGTGTCGAGCACTTGTTGGTACCGTATCTAGCGACTCTAAACTTGACTGAAATCAACAAGACGAGGTAAAACAAAGTTGTAGTTTTTGCTATCAGGTGCTGCTTTGAGGTGATCGACAGGATGCCATTGTTTGGGTCGGCGAGCTCTATGCTCGAGCAAGAGATCGAAAAGGCCACACTGGAGACCATCGTTAAAGGTACGCTTTGCTGAAGCAGAAAGTTCGTTCCGTGTGTCTTATTGACCTTGCCACTTTGCCTTCTCTTATCAAAATAATTAACAATAGAAATGCTTTAGGCAGCTGTGTTTGTGAGCATTGAACAGAGTTGTATCGCCATAGCTTCCTGTTCTTGTATAACTGGCACGAATATAGTAGTCTTCTAAATTGGATTTGGTTAGGTTAGGATTTGGTAAAAAACGATATTCGCTCGATTCTCAAAAATAAAACATGTACTTGGAAAAAATACGGACGAAAAAATAAGGACGCTCTAAGTCTGAAGGAGCAGTTTGATCTCGATATTAAATGACGACAGTGTACAGTAACTAAGCGGGGCAATATAACTCCATCGAAACACACATATGAACGTAAATGTCTAAAGCATGTCTATTATTAATGATGTTGACAAGAAAAGACATAGGAACAATGTAAATAAGATACATCGTTAGCTACGTCAAGTCGTTTGAAAAGGTACTTTCCTAATGTAAAGGCAACATTAATCCTTGATTTATGCACAGAACGAGGACGCAGATAATTACCTTTTTAGACAAGAAGGTTAGTTTGCCATATATGTTCTCCTTATCATGACAGCATACGCGTACTTGACGGTCAAACGTGACGCAGGTTATAAATTAGGACTGGTACAGCGGTTACTAAAAACAGTTCAATTAGGGAGCGACGCGTCTAGACGTAAATGTCTTGAAACGTCTAGATTAGGAACAACTAGATAATTGGAAGTCTGTTACGAAAAATTCACATTTTTGTTGATATAAGCTGAGATTATAGAAAACTTTTTCCAAAAAAAGCAAGACGTTTTAGAAAGAAATCTTGGCTGAAATCTTTCCGTTATTTCAAAACGTCACCTTCGTTTGATTTTTAAGGTGTTCCACGGGATGGAATGAAAAATAATTTTATCAGTTTCAATAACTGACCGCTTCCGCTGTTCGGCTAAATAGGACGAATCATATCAATAAATATATGATCGCCATTATTCTATCTATTCGTGCACGTTCCTCAACGATAAAAAAAATTCTTACGTTCAAAACATACTCCAAAAACAAACATATATATTTATATATATATATATATATTGTTGTTTGTTGTATATATATCCAATTTATTCTATATTATCTATTTACTGGACCAAAAGAGAGTTCTTATGTAGTACCCAGCCCAGTATAGACCCACTAAGCATTTATTATATTTATATTTAAAACGGCATTTTCTACGACAGTGCTGCGTAACAACTGGCTTTTGGATTGTGTCTAGACTAAATCAGTTTCTATGGCGGTGCTTCTTAATCGCATTGCGTTTCCAATACTAAGGTTTACTGACCGCTATCAATCAGTCGGTAAATAAGGTTGGCTAGGTAACAACAGGGTTGCTGTAGCTAATCAACGTTCCATACATACTCAGTTTCAGAAAAGTTTCATATTCATCGTCAGTAACCTACCAACGTATCTAAAATCATCAATCAAAATAAAATCAGCTGTGTGCGCTGCTATTACGATTTAAACAGCACTTCGAAGTATACTAGTCAATGCCGGGTACCATGTGAATTGTAAGAACTTTATAAGACGTAAGACGACGCTAGGAAACGAGGAAGAACTTTTCAAAAACTGTTTTACTGTGATATAACGTGGCTCACTAACTGCGTCAAAGAATGCGGTACTAGTAATGTTGAGTCATATCGGCTCATTAAACAGGGTCTCAGTGTGTTAGAGCTCGTGCCAGCCGATGAATTATGTCGAATTATCCTGGAACGCTATATAGAGTACTGGTTAATTACCCTCTCGATTTCAATTGGATTGTGGCATTGTAGTGTCCGATTACGATTAGGGCAGCTATAATGGATTGAACTGTTGTTTTCATGGTCTAAAGCAGCGTATGTTTGTTTGTTTTACCAAGATATTAATTGCATTGAATAAAAAAAAAACACTGAAAATATTTACTATGTAGCTCCTTGACAGGTTTTGTGCAGAAGGTGATGCAAATCGATATAACAATCTAGGTGAGTCTTATATTCGGGCATAACAACAGTCTGTTATGACGCGTTCAATGCATCTATATACATATCTATACACTTGATGGCAGAAAATAAGAGGCGGAATCTGCGAGTCCCTCCATATTCTGTATGAACAGTGGTTTGACGTTCTGAAACTTGAAGAAAAAATCTTTGTACACAAATCTGATATGCCTCACTTCACCTCAAATCCTGTGAACTTCCCAAGATAAGGACTCCACTACAGCTACTACTCTACTACTAAGAGGTATAATTACAGCTACACCCTTCGAAAACATATGTCTATCAATTAGATTCATGTCCATTTGAGCTCACTGTCGTTGTACTACTGTCGTGCGAGCATTTCCAAAATCTTGGCTAAAGCAAACGGAAACCCTAAGTGGTTAGATAAGAACGAAAATTACATATGTCGTTACATATGATGTACACAGCATTTAGTCAACGTGCAAGTCAACTGATATTACAAGAATGTGTTATATAAACTCAAAAAAAAATAACCCCAACATTGCAAATGACGACAAGACCTTTAAAAAAAAATTTAAAGGTTCTTAAATATTGAACGGTCGAACAGTTGTTACGACCATGCAGATATCGAATTAAGACGATATTACCAAATATCGGAGTGCGGTAGACGCTGGTAAAAAATGTTTGTCTAAGCGATTTCCTTGGAAAAGGGAAATATAACTGAAAATACGATACTATTTTTTTATGCTGATTCAGTGGAATTGTAATTATAATTAGCTCGACATGTTCCCTTAGGATAAAACTAGTTCGACAAAATTGGGTAGTGGATTCTAATGCAGGTTTTTGGTACTAAAAAGACAAAATAAATTGCGTGACTCTATTTAACGTGATTGCCTCTATTTAACGTAAGGTGATCGAAAATATTCACGTGGTTGTCTTAAAGTTATGTGATTTTTACTGATAACACTTCCCTTAGAATAACATTCTTTATGCTGGACATTGGGCTGTTTCCAGAGGATGTTTCTGCTATGTTCGAGGTCTGCGATCGAGTGAACTCAACCCAGGATGGAACAAGAGAGGCGTACCGGTGTCTTGTAAAACGGCTGCAAAACCCAAATCCTCGTGTCGTGATGTTAACGCTTGGAGTACTTGATGTTTGTGTTATGAATTGCGGGAAAAAATTTCATCTTGAAATCTGTTCAAGGGATTTTACGACACAAATTAAGACAATACTAAGTAGAGGTCATCCAAAGGTGCAGGACAAGCTGAAGTTTTTACTGTGCAAGTGGGCCAACAACGAATTTAAATCTGATCCCCAGCTAGCTATTATCGACAACTTCATCCAGCGAGCGAAGATGGACGGAGTAAATTTCGAAGTCCAGGACCCCAGTCTAGAGACCATGGACAGCAAACCGACCCAACGGAGTGCGCATCAACAGCAACAAGAAGAGGATGATCTGGCAAAGGCAATCGAGTTGAGTCTTCAGGAAAGCAAAAAGAAAAGTGATCCCAGAAGTGGAACGAGCACGGGCAGCGGGCTGTATCCATCGATGAGCAAAATTAGTTCGATCACTTCGACAACGGGTCTAAGTAATAGTGCCCCAAGCGGTACCAGCAGTGCGCCACCTCCCAAGGCCAAGGAGTCGCGAAAGGTTCGTGCTCTCTACGATTTCGAGGCGGCTGAAGAAAATGAGCTGTCATTTAAGGCAGGCGAAATTATCATCGTTTTGGAAGATCGTGATCCCAACTGGTGGAAAGGCTCGAATCACCGCGGTGAGGGTCTCTTTCCCTCAAACTTTGTTACAGCCGACCTCGAGGCGCCACCCGAGGAGACGGCCCCTGCGTCAGAGGCCGCCATCGAAACACCTGTGGTCGCCTCTGTAACACAGGTGGATGAAGTTAAAATCAATGCATTGCTACATATGCTCCATGACGCTGACCCCACCGTCTTGGAACGCACGGAAACTGATGCACAGATGGAACAGCTCCAAGCGGAGTGCGCTCTCATGACTCCGCTGATCGACGCAGAGCTCGAGAAGATCGATAGGAAACACCAGTCACTAACGACGCTGTCGCAGCGGCTTACCGACGCATTGGCCACCTACCATCAGTTATTACGGCAGCCGCAGATGCCATTTATGCCGTCGATGATGGGTGTGGCACCCCAGGGTCCACCAGGTGTTCCGCAAATGACTTATTATTCAAGCCCACCTATTGGCGTTCAACCTCAAGGATTCCATGGGCTGCCTATGGCACTCCCCGGAGTAATCCCGCCTTCCCGCATGCAACCTGTTCCACCACAGCAACCTGTTGTAAGTGCGTCTTCTGGTCGATCCATTGTTCTTCCTGGCCAGATGCCTCCACCAGGTGCAGAAATGCCTCCGAGTGCCCATATGGTTATGGGACCCCCTTATGGATATCCGCATCCGACGATGAACGGCACAGTGAATGGTGCTTTGCCACCAGAGGGAGTCATACAGATGGGGGTGCCACCCAGTCAAATACCGCCCGGCCCTGCGCAATGAAAATTAATCGTGATATTAATGAACCCTCTTCGTGATGAAAAATATTATATCTGCAGCAGATCTAGTGTCTCGTATGCCTCTTTAATGAAATACTTCAGGACTTTCAAGTTGTATCCAGCTTTGCCGCAGGAGGGGCGAGGGAGAGAGAGAAGCTGGGCGGCTGCGCAAACGTATTTTCCTCTGGTCATGCTGCATGTAAATGATATGGTCATGTGGTCATGCTGCATGTAAATGATGTCATGAGGCGACTCGTAAATAACTTGCAAGTAGCTACGTGAAACATGAAGACTAACCATTTTTCAGTAACGTTTGGGCGGTGCACAATTAATGCATGACGGATGTTTTTGTGGCCGATCGTTGTATGTGCCGCATGCGAATATTAATGAAACTACGCGAATACCGTAGCAAGAGTTTTACTTGACTGGATCAGACCAATAAAATTCGATCCAGTTTGTGGTTGACCGCTATCGAAAAAAAGAGAAAGGAACAAAGTGAGCCTGTTTAAAGTGATTCTATAATAAGACTAATTACTGATTCTATAATAAGACTAATTATTAAATACCGGGTTGCGACGATTAACAAAGAAAAAGAAAATGAATATAACGATTACCGCACTCCACACATACGTATGTATAATCAAGAACAGGAAAACGAATATACGAAGCGAGAAAGAAAATCTTAGTATAATATTATACATAAACATGTTCAGTCTATGACTCGAATAGTGTGTTACTATGTTGCTAATACATACCATTATAAAAAGCTACTATTGAGACTGTTCTGTTAATACAAACGTGAAGCAATGAATCACATGCCTGCCTTTTTGTCGTACTGGTGACATAGTCAACGACCGCTTAGGTGTGAGGTCTTTGAGATTTCGCGAAACGCACCCCGTTTTTAAATGACAGCATTTACAATGTAGAGAGTGAAGATTTCTGCTGGGAGAGATACCTCGTGTATTCAAATAATAACATAACGAACAATCCTGATTTCACTTTATTTTGCTATCACACAGTTTATGGCTCGGTTTACTTACTACATAACGAACAATCCTGATTTCACTTTATTCAGACTGTTGTCATCTAGAGTCCCGTCTATACCCAACAAATTGATACACCCGTATTTAGTCATCTCCTCCTGAGTGTACGTAAATAATCTGTCCTGCAGCAAAAATACAACGGGTGACAGAATCAGAGGAGATAAAATTCTAGCTTCCTGGTTGGTTATCGTATATATGTGCGCTAATCCCACAAAAACATAAAACTAGCCAGCTATCATTTTAGATTTTTGCCGGCGACCGCCGTTACAATTCTTATTCATATACACGCGCGCAGCTCCCGTCAGCATCTAAAGCTTTTCTTCAACGGCGCCAGGGTACCGTCGATTGTACGTTATTGGAGTCATCTTAGCTGTTGTCCGCTAATGCTGAGTCCATTGAATCGTTTTGAGATCGATTCCTTCCTGAACCATATCCCAAAGAGGGGACATATCCCGCAGTCGTTTTACAACACTGATAATTTTCTCTGCCGTGTAACGCACCTCCTGTTCTGTTGTGAAACGTCCAATTCCAAATCGAATCGATGAATGCGCCAGGTCTTCTTCAGCTCCAATAGCTCTGAGGACAGAAAACCAGAGAGTATTAGGGACACTTTAACCTTTTATTGATTTAATAAAAGGTTAAAGATGGCTGAAAAATGTGTCATTTAATTATATGCGAAAAGGACAAAAAATATCCGCCGCTGCTATAATTAAAATGAAAAAAAAAACAATATATCCGCCGCTGCTATAATTAAAATGAAAAAAAAACAATATTTTTTTACGTTATTCTTCAGAAATACTATTCAATTTTTTGTTTCGCGTAGCTAGGATTGATTTTTGTGCCTTTGATGTGCACTTGATTTTTGTGCCTTAATAGTCTGATTCTCACAAATACTAAAAATGCTGTAATAATCTGATGCTAGTAATGATTTATCTGCAAATACTATAATTATGATACAAAAATAAAAATATAATACATGGTAGTTATGTTTTGGGGTTTCACGATGTTTAGGTATTCTTCGGCTTAATAAATGTGCTCTCAAATTGAGTCCAAATACAAAGAACTCTAAGCGATTTTTGTACATCTACTGATCATGTATGAAAAAGTTTAATGTGTCTGGTGTGCTCCTTTGTATTGCTGAATGCGTCAATATAGTCATTTTAAAATAAGTGGTCAGCAAAATCTGTTCTGCTTATGCCCTTCCCAATTTCTCAAGCTCTTTAAGGACACTTTCGAACACAATTTCAAGATGTACTCAAATCTTCTTCCTTTTTCCATGAAAAAAAGCATATTTGGACAAATAATATTATAGAACAGGCAAAAGTATTATAGCAAGCAAATATTTTTCACAAACCTAAGGACGTAACTTGGCTCAAGACTGGCACTTGTACAGGCACTACCGGAACTGAGTGCAACATCCTTCATGGCCATAAGGAGAGATTCGCCTTCGACACAAGAAAAAGATAGGTTAACACATCCGGGATAAGTCTTCTCTGGATCACCATTTCTCACCACGTGCGTTAATTCCGATGTAATCAACTCAAGTAGAAGGGACGATAATCGACAAATGTGGTTATAGTCGTATTGCATCTCTTGTTGAGCAAGGCGACTGGCCGCACCGAGACCCACGACCAAAAAAGTTGGTACTGTACCGCTTCGAAGACCACGTTCCTGACCTCCTCCGCTTTGAATCGGTTCCACACGAACTCTAGGCCGACGTCGCACGTACAGGGCGCCCACACCTTTCGGGCCATAAATCTTGTGACCGCTGATTGACAATAGATCAATACTCATTGCGTTTACATCTATAGGGATCTTGCCAACGGCTTGGGCAGCATCCGTATGAAAGAACACCTTCTTAGAACGGCACAGTTTGCCAATTTCCTCAACAGGTTGCCGGACCCCGATCTCGTTGTTCACGGTCATCACGGACACTATAGCAGTATCGGGTGTGAGAGCTGCATCCACCGTTGCCATATCTAGGAGTCCATTGTTCTGAACGGGCAGATAAGTCACGCGAAAGCCCTCAGCCTCAAGAGCACGACAAGAATCCAATACACATTTGTGTTCGGTCTGTGTCGTAACAATGTGTCGCTTCTTTTCGCCATAAAAACGTGCTACACCTGCAGATCAAAAAACACCGTATACACTGTTCAATAAACACATGGGGTTATACTGTTATTATTGTTATTAATATTAATGCATACTAATGAATTGTCATTAGTATCGTTGCAAGAAATACCGCCGTTGACAGCCTCGTCGAGGTTCCTGACAAAAGACAAAAGGCAAGAACAAAAACGCTTAATTCGCTTTTGTTTGTCTTCAGCAGTATAATAGGCATACGTTTTAAATAAAAACAGAACGGTTTCCGTACAGAGATTGTTCCTATGGTACCTTTAATTGCAATGTTATTACTCTCAGTAGCTCCTGAAGTAAATATGATTTCTTTGGGATCAGCCTTTACAAGACTGGCCACTTCTGCGCGGGCACGTTCCACTGCTGCTTCGCTTTCCCAACCATACTGATGGCTACGCGAGTGCGGGTTACCGTACGAGCCGATCTGAAAAGGAAGCATCTCATCGAGAACTCGCGGGTCGAGCGGTGTTGTAGCCTGGGCATCAAGATAGAGTGGGCGAAGATTGTTTTCAAGCCGCGTTTTCGATTCATAAGGCGCCGGCATGCGAGCCTGTTAATTGATTGTACGGCAATTGCGGCACTTAATTATATTGTTTTAAATCAACTAAGCGTTTTTTAACGTTAGAACGTTAATCAGATACTTTTGAAAAAAAGCAGCGAAAAACGTTAACATTTTTGGAAATTTTCTGTATTACACATTAATTATTCACAGAGGGCGACATATGTTTAATCGTAAGTTAAAGAGCCACCCAAATCTAATTGCACATTTAGAATGATATCATCAGCGAATTATTGAATTCGCTGAGATTAAGTTCTAGATGTTTTTTAGCCATTTAGTCGTAGAAGTTATTTCGAATTGCTACATAGCGACGTATCCTAGAACTAGGCTATGATAACAATTATACAATCGATCCAGTCGCTGAAAGGTTGGGTTGCATGCATTATGTGTATCAAAGATACTATTTACCGTTGGTTACCATTAATTGTCATGTCGTCTTGGCTATACAGGCTTACGGACATGCATTAGTCAACCATACATGACAGCCTCTAACACTGAGTGTTTGGTCGTGAAGTAACAAGCTTTACAAACCTACTACTGCTTACCGGAGGTAAAGTCTGTGGTACAACCGACATTGTCCTATAAACTATGAAGATCTGGCGGCGGCCCTCCTGACACAGCGGTCTACCCAGGGCCAACATGTTGTTTACTGTCGAATGACGTTTTTATTCAGCGATCGTAACCCACTGACTGCAAAGCATGGCGCAAAGTAGCGTAACAGACACAAAATCGTCAGGTCTACGTGTGTGTACGCGCAGTTCGCTGAAACGGTTTAACACAGGGGGGTAAGAAAGCGGGTCTGCAGATTTTGCCTTTTTCCTTCTTTTTCTCCATGTTTTCTTTTATTCCACCTTCATTTAAAGATATTGAGAAAGCGGGGTTTGGTACAATTTCTATTTTCCTCATGTATAGTAATAATGATATAATAAAACCTTCAGATTATTGGAACTGATAGCTATCTATAGGATCATTGCTTTTCAAAATAAAGGACGCTGTTAGCTTGACAATTCTGCACAAATAGATGAATGTTAACGAAAACTAGTAAGTGAGCGAACGGAAGCTAAGGAACATCTAGAACATTAGCCCAAAAGCGGCAGCGCTAGTTATGAATAGTAATGTTCTCTGGCCGCTCTTGTCCACCTACAGAAAAAGAACTCGGTATAGAAGGCCGAAACCAGCTAGCCTTCAAGGGGGCGTAAAAGTTCTTGGGCCAGAACAAACTGTACCATACACTATAATAAATATACGGAGTTCTTAGTCAGTGTAGGAAAATTCGCGGCTCTCCTGAAAGACTAGAAGCCGGATTGCTCGATGTCAGCGATCACGGTTTTGGACCTCCAAAAGAAACGCAAAAATGCGCACCGTTCGGTTGCACCCAGAAATGGCATGTAAAGATGCTTGACGACTCAATGCATACACACTACGCCTTAGTGCATAGAGGCGGGTGCTCGTGTTTCACTGAGAAAGGCACAGCAGAGCATGACGAATGGCAACTTTCTGCAAAATATACCTTCATTTCTAAACAAAACAAAGCGAGACATCGTAAGCGAAAAAATGGAGACAGGAACACAGGAGCCATGGCAGACTGCACGCCTAAGGCCACTATAAAAGTCGCCCCTAACACCCGTCCATGCACTTGAAGGACCAACCACAACCACGTTGGCAAGGAATACCAACTTACGGAACCGACTGCAGAGGCGCAACACTTCACAAACTTTTCCTGCCGCCCAACACCGCCGTAGACAATCCCATTTCAGCCGCTTTCCAGTGTCTGAACACAGCAACACAAAGTGGAAAGCACTTCGAAAAGATAAAAAGTACTACAATTAAAAATGACAGTGAAATGGAGTTGCGAAAGCCTTACTTCCTTGCTATTTTTACTGCTTATAGCCGCTCGCCAAATGATCAATCTTATGATGTTTGCCAAAACGTAGGCCTTGTTTCCGTTCTTCTCCAAGCAGATAGCTACTCCATCATACAGTAATACTGATCACAGTTTTAGGGGTGTTGCCGTGTTTTACAATCGACGTCTGGGTACAAAGAAACCGGTCCTCGCAGAAGACAACTGTTTAGTCATCGAGAAAATCAATATTATTGCGATATCTGTTTGTTCACTCGGGGAGGCTGGCAACAACGAACTGGTAAGAAAATTGGTGAGGTGTTATCGACTTGGAAGCGGATAAAAATCAACTATCATTGCCGGCGATTTTCATGACGGAATCGACCACTTTGAAGAAAAACGAATGACTGCAGGAGCCTTAAAAGGACTTCGGTCTGTGGATTATCACAGATCCTGGTACTTTCCCTTTTGTAAGATCCATCGAAACCTGTACGATGAATTAATTTGCTATAAACATTACCAAGAAGCAGGGTCAATACGTCAGTCCGTATGATAGGTGCATTTTTGGGGTGGATCCTGCCGGGATCATGTTAAGAAGTATCAAAAGCGACTATCAAAACCGTTAACTCGTAAAGCTGGATATCAATAAACTTCAAAAAACTGCTAATACGATTTTCACGTATGCAGACAATCCTAAATTCGCGTGATGCATCTTTTACATCGGTGCTAACCGGTTGCTTAGCCACCAAGCGACCCTTAACTGCTAGAGAATGCTGAACCATGCGAAGTGTTCAAATGAAGTGCATATCATTGAAGGCCAAAGGGTTAAGTAAGGTTCAACCCAGCTTTTGGTCATTGGTTTTCAGGATTGAGAGATCCTACAAAAAATTTCACAAAAGTGCAAACGTAAGGTCAAAAAACGTGTGAGATGAAAGTTTTGAGAGACGGCTCGCGTGCTTTCTGCGTATGGCTCCAACATACCAGCTTTGCCAGAAGAAGCTGCCCGGTACGGTACAAACGTAACAACAATTTAAGCGGTACGACTCTGGTCAAACCCAAAGAGGTGGATTGAATCATGTTACTGGGACTATTCATGTTAGTCATCAAAAAATTAGAAATGGATGGCAGGACTGGAACAAGACTTGGAAATCCACAATTGTATCCTTAGGCTTCTCAATCACAAAGCGGAATAATATACAGTGAATACATGAAAGCGGCAGTTGCGCAAACACTATCTTATCGAACGCGTACATGACTGAGGCATAGATTCTAGCAATATGAGGAGATTATGACATCCTTGTTGTCCTTAAAAAGACAGGGGCGTTTCCCCATAGGTGCGAACAGTTCTCGTGGACTTGATGTCTTAGAGGAGAATCGCAAAGAAAAGCTATGTCTGCAAATTTCTGACAAATATTCTTGTATGGCGGTCAACTCCTCTTCTAGAGTATCGCGTGGCGTTGACAAAGAAACGGCACGGGTTTCAGATGGAAAGATTGGTAATCGTTTGACATTTGTGGTTTACAGAAACAAAGCGGAGGCAAAACTTGGTTGTCCGAGTCAATCTTTCTACTAAGTTCTCGCAGACTTCAGAGCAGCTTGTCGGGATTCGCGCGAATCGATAATCTCAATCCGCTGTTCGTCAAGTTTCTAATCAACGACTTTTCTTCACGTATCAAGCAATGGCACTTTCTCGAGTACAACACATAGGTGGATTCCACCAGCAACTGGCGCTGATAATGCTGGATAATTAAGTTTGGTTTTCAAATTAACATGTCTAAAACTGAGGCTATGACCTTCAGAAGAGGGGTATGGCTTGCTAATAGTGATTCGTTTTATGTGAACGGAATGTTTTTCAAAATTGTCAACCTGTCAACAACAACAACAAGGAAATCTTTCGTTGATCATCCATGTAGTGGTAATGCTAGAAAATAATGGTAGCGGCTGTCACAATCGAAAACCTGTAAAAACTACAGGTTGAAGTAGCAATCCAGTTATTTAGTTTAAAGATTACGCCATCGTACACAAGATTAAATTTTTAGGAAAAACTAAGCATTCGTCATTTTCTGTAACTGAGTCAGGCGTTCTTAGAACTAGTATTAGGCCTGCACGCAATCGTTTACGACTGCCTTAAGTACTTGTTGATCGACATTTTGACGTGCAAACAATCTTAGGGTTTTCGAAAAGCGAAGCATACAAGACATTTGCACAAACACAATGGTCAATTTCGCCCGAAAGAGATCCTTTTTACTCACCTTCACTTAGTGCAGACGACAGCTAGAAACAAACAGAAGTAATCGCCATATTATAGCACAGTTCGCAATGCACAAGCTTCTTCACTTTATCTGGGAAACGCAGGCAAACCATGAACTCACTGAGAGTCGTATGTACGCGTTTTGCAAAGCTATATGTTCTAGACACTATTCTGGTCAATGTAGCCTAGTGTGTCAGTTGACCAACTTGTCAACATTAGTACCTAGTCAGTTATACGTGTTCGTATATGTACACGATCCTATCTTGTAACTTGGTTTGTATATTTATAAATTTCAACATATACATTTACACAAGCCGGGTGAAATAGATAAAATGGATAAATACTTTTGACTTATCATTCCTTTTGCAAGAATAGCATGGTTGTACTAAGCAATGAGTTTTTCAAACAACTACGGCATTCACAGAGAAACTAACGTGAGTATAATGTGAGCCAATACTGTAAACAACACATTCCGGTTTTCAATTGCCAACCAACTCGAAGCTGTTGGCGTCCGCGTTTAATCGCTTTCTAAAGGAAAAGCTTCATTTATTGTGATAACAGACCAATCTTTCACCGCTCGCAGACAGGACACGGCCACTCACCGGTCTAACTCGCTTTACTCCATCGCCAAGTACCAATAAATATCCGATTTCGCTTTTATCTAGCGTCGCAGTCTGTTGTAATGCATTAATACATTTCTGATCGGTTGTTTTGACGACTACAACGAAGAGTTCTAGATTATTCTTATCTATACGGTGTTTCGATTGCGTTCGATCTATTCGAATAGTTTACACTGTGCTCAAGTGGAGCTTTACACCGCCATATGTATCGTCTGCTAGCAGCAGTTTGTTGTCAAACAAATGCGGAATTCTATACATTCCACATACATGTTCTAGATAAAATAGGATAGGATCTGTTTGAGGCCGCTGGCGATGGTCCTAACACGAAACAGAGCTACTGGCGGCCATTTTGCCCTTTCCACTACCTTTATGTTAGACTAGCCTTCTCTCACCATCCTCTCCTAACGATTGCTGGGTGCGCTTGGTTATCGAAATAAGGAGACAGGCTCTCTACTTATGACGGCAGGCAACCAGGCGCAGCGGCAGTGGTGCGCCGTGAGTGAGCCACGGAACGATTACGGAGAGCCGCTAGCAAAACAATTTGTAACGAAGAGGAAATTAAGTGCTCCTCGGCAATCAACAGTGGCGAAAGTGCAGTGCTCCGTGCCGGCTCCGAACGGGACTCTTTCCGGTAACCCCGCGCCAATGTATTGGTTCCAAGCAATAATCAAGAACACTTCAAGACGGCCAGTCTGCTCCACGGAATAAGGCGCCCATCATATACGTATGCATCTATTATATCTATTACAAATTTCCTGCATCAGCCATTGCATCCAGAGTTAGTAACGTCTTCCCTCCGCCCCGGTTCGCCTCGCATTATTGATTTTTTGATGGTCGTCTTCGAATCTGGACGGGAGCGCGCTGGCTGCCTCGTGCTTTGCGCGTTGAAAAGGAATCACCGATCCAAAACAAACAGAGATTCCGCTATTTAACCCTTGACAACAGGTAGCGACATGTTTTCTCTGGCGACCGAATGAACGTAGTAGTTATTTTTTCAACAGTGGGAACAGCAACGAGAGAAGCATATCGCGGCGTACGGCACTGAGACGCGGTCGGTTGGATTCAACGTCATCAGTAACCGCCGACGTTGACTGCTGTGGTGGCGCGAACAGAGTAACCAAGCTGTTGACAACAGCCCGGCCAATGCAGTCATCAGCATCTGCCCCAGTCGGCAGTACTTGAAGCGTGCAAACTTGAAGCGCGCACAGCAGCAACAGATAAAATTGACTCTATTTAATTCTATCTGCATCACAAAGCTGTTCAGTTACGATACCAAGATTGTTAGCGCAGTTTGAATATCTTGCAGTTAAATTCGTGACGTATAATGAATATTCGCCAGCCTGAGGACCTTGATTAAAGGAATAGATCCCTGTCGATTGCAACATTTAGCTCAACTATTAGCGACGGACCAGCGAATCCAACGCGTAGAATGATTTTCGATCGGCACCGAACGTGATATACGTAACCTCTGACGAACAAGAGAAAAATGGATCACGCCATTGTCGCGGAGGTAGTGAAGCCGGTGGCCGGATGACAGTGTTGCATTGCACACGTTGCTACAACGAGCGAAGCACGCTTTACTCATTGAAGCTGTCATAAGCGTCTTCTCCGTGTCTTTCGTGCAATTAAGACGATCAGCGAAGCTCAACTGAGAAAAATGAGAGATCACTCGTTAATAACTAGCGCTCTTATTCTGTAACGGTTATGTTCAATCGAAGCGTGCTCGGTATTAATGATTGCTGTTATGTTCAAAGTTCAGGTTTTGTCGTCGAAGCTAATCAAATAGTTTGTATTAACTACGAGTAAAGTGAAAAATTAATATCATTTAATAACGCGCAGTAAGCTAGACAGCCATTTCACGGTCGAGCACTTAAATTCTAACGAGTCAGCGCTCCGAACGTAACGGAACTGGTGCATAACTGCTGAGTACACATGGTCAGGCAACTTGCTGTTTTGCTACTACTAACATGAATGTTAATGTCATAGTATTGCCTAAGCCAGTAGTTCCTGTCGAAATCGGAAAAAGAACCACCAGGACGAACCGTGATTAGGACAAGACGGACGAGACAATCCATAATCGGGACACCGAACCTGAAACTGCTGAGGTTGTGTGTGATTTCGTCGTTGGGAAAAACGCGTACCCCCCCCCCCTCTTATTGCTGTGCCGGCTGTTCTTTCAATTGATCGCGGCAATTGTAGCATGAGATCTCTGTAATCATAATCTATTGGAGCGACATCGTCGCTGCCTGCAGTTACCGTTTCTGCACCTACGGCCGGATCCCTCTCTATAGGTCAGCCGCGACGATCGCGTAGCTGATTGCTCGCCCAATCTTTCACTCAGTTACTGCACCGTATGTGCTGGCCAATATATCAACGCGGATGCACAAAGATCATATTATGAAGTGGCCCCCACTTGTGATACTCGGCGGTCTTGCCTCGCTCGCTGTTTCCGAGGGTGAGTGTCTATTGCTGCTTATTGAATTATATATATAATAAGAAATAGAGCAGAGGTACCTGGGCAGCTCGGCGTTTTAGCCTGCCTTATAATATATATATATATATATAGGTTCTCTAATATAATTGTAGATTTAAGGTATGTATATGTATACATATCGGTTTTTTACTTTAATCTGTTTTTACTACTTTTGTCGACTGCAACGCCCTGTGAAAATTACCTTTTCAAAGGAGTGTCCACTTTGCAAATCTTCCCTGCAAGATACATTCCATCATGATTAAGTGATATTTAAATTTGTTTATTATTACAGTTACTTTTTACTTACGCCTTAGTCAAACGTGATTTATTGGCTACTAGGTTACCAAATCAACTTAATTTTCCCGCTTTACACGAAAGCCGTCGCTGAAAGTATTCTTTTTCTAGTGGACTGTCAATCTCGTTAGCAACTGTTTTTCTGTTAATCCGAATTTTGTAAGCATTTATGCATATAGTTAATTGTTCAATGCACAGTTAAAAAAAAAATGTTGATCAAACATTTTGTTTCAAATGGGAAGTTTTATTATGTTTTTCTGAACTCTCGCTCGTACAGCAGTCCGGAGTAACTTATGAACAAAGCAGCCTATATGCGACTGATTCTGTGAGTTCATTAATAAACGTGTCACTAAGTATTACAAATAAAAAAATTAACATTTTTAGCGTCCTCCTCTTCAAGTTTGAAATTCAATCTGTAAACGTAGATGAAGCTGATTTTTGTGTATTTCGCTATTTTACATGTTTCATATTACACAAGAGGTTTATGTACCAACACCTGTATGTACATACTTGCCTGCATTTTGTATTTAAGTCATTCTCATTTAAGAAATAATACTAACACCACCACGAAAGAGACCATCAGTTATCATTGTTAACGCACATAGTTGCGTTTATCCCTCTGTTTTAATAATAATAATAATAATAATGCTAGGCAGATCGGGTAATGTGTCGTTTCGTCATATTTGGGAACGACGTACCACGAGGCTCAAGCTTGCAGTGAAGACATAATAGCTCCAAGGACAAGAGTCGGTAGTGAGGTGCGTTTGTGTTTCTTAATTAAAATTATTGCGTTAATGCCGTAATTCATATCAGCTGCTTTGAGCGTGTTAGATCGTAATTTAGAATGTGCGTACTGACTCTTAAACTCCACGGCGTTACTCAATGACACCCATATTTCACTGGTCTGTCATGTGGATTCCAAATATGTGCAAGGTATTGAGCTGGCCATTTACCATCGGCTTCATTTGCTAGTCGATACAGTTGCCACATTGATGACATTCGTGTTGTGAGCAATTAGAGAAATCTAAACACATGATGAATAGAAGTATTACACGAGATAGTCACCGATTTTTGTTCCTTTTCGCTTGTTATTTGCGTCACAAATGCAGCAGACACGCTCCTTGTTTTGTGCTTCTCTCACGACATGTTATTGGAGACCCCTTTTTACTTGGATATGTTCATATGGTTCATGTTTTCCATGAAGCATCCCCGCTTTTGTTAACAATAATCTCGTTGAACTTACGAAGAATCGGCTTTCAAGCAGAAATCAATTTACTGCTATGAATTATACCATGTTATATGAAACACCGTATTGTGATTTGAATGGGATTGCAATTCTTATGCGGTGCAGGCGAATCTGTCTTGATGCTATCGAATCGTCGAACTGTAAGATAGCTACGCTTAACACCAACAAATACATTTAAGTTAAAAAAAAAAATAAAATAAAAATAATTTTAAAAAAAAGATAAAAAAATAATCGCACTGGAACACACTGTCCAGCACTATGCTCCGTGTGTCTGCTGCAACCTTTAAGGCATTAAAAATTCTTGCGTTTCCTTTTACCAGTGATGGCCGAAAGAAGAGACATCTGTCGGTTTCGCGAACGGTCGATGCCTACATTTAGAAAAGCTATTACCATCTGGTTCTGTTAGGCCCTACTGGCAACGCATTGTCGCACACAGATGTCAACTGAGGGTATATTGCTGCATGCATTTCATAATTTAAATCGTCGAAGAAGCCTACACGGTTTTTTTCTTCAAGTACAAGGTACCTGAGGTAGTGAACTCGTTATCAGAAATAGACAGATCATTGAAAAAAGAAAACAACGGACGGGCCACATTATTCATAGAAATGACGGCCTTTAAAAAATAGACAAGTACGAAGACCAAAAATCTCAAAGGCGGCCTGTCCCAATATGGTTATGCAGACATAGGCGGCCTATTCCAAGATGATTATGCAGAAATTTATTTATAATCTGACTAAGCCTCTGGTGGCTTTTAAATACACAATTTACCTAACGCTTAGCGAAACTACGGTCGTACAGGACAGGAGCGCAGAAGCTGCACAGAAGCAAATTTTCTTGATAACAATATTGGAAAACTCGAAATAGATTTGACAATGAGAAACTCTAGCGAAGCCGTATTTTGACGTCAACGTTTTTTTTTTATTCATTACCAAGACCTACACAGTGGTTAAATAAACTGCCTAACAACAGGCAAAAAAGGTTCCTATATTTATTTGATCGGTCTTTTGTACGTAGACATAATAGTGATTTCTCAACAATATCAATGCAGTCAACAATAGAAGCCAATCCTCAGTTTAGTCAACAAACATGGGTTCTTTTCTCTGCACTGGCTTTTGGCTAACTTTTCTGTGCAAAGTTAGCCGAAAGGCAGAATGGAAAACACTTCAGAAAATGTTCTAGCCAAACTTAGCCTAGAAACTCCGCGAATTTCACTCTCGTCAATTACAGATACAGTTTCTGGCACAATTCCAAATAGATCTGCTTACGCTCTTGATATTTACGGATATGCTTGAGGTCGAGTCAGTGCACAAGCTGAATTAAGGATCGCTTAATTTTCGGTTGTTCTTAGCTTAAACACCTAGAGTATCAGGGCATTTTATATAGAGAATCATCTAATTACAATCGCAGTTTTTACAATTTTATTAACGTATTCCGATCATAATCCGCTGGTGAAGCGTTTTAAAACTACAACCTAAGTACTTCTCGAACTTTTCGAGAACAAATGCTTTCGCATATTTTTTATGGAGCGCTCTGCACTCTGTGCCTAAGGCATGTGCTCCGCAGGCTGATAGTTATCTTTGCAAGGTGGAAAAGCAACAGTTTGTATAAAAAAAGAGTTGGGGACCATTCAAGTACCTCTATCATTAGTGCTAGAAATAGGCAGAATTTTCCGTTGTAGAACCCGAAATTCTTCAGGTAAGTGATAAATTCCTGTGTAGTAAATCCAGTGGAAAAAAACTGGTTAATAAAGATTTCGTACTATTCTGTATTCCGAGTAGATTCGCAAAGCGCCCCCAACGTTCCCCTAATGGAAGAAGGCGACTCGTATAAGTACATTGACCAAAGGACATCAAACCAGGCCATTCCGAAACAGTTTTAAAACCCATGTTGCACTGAAAAGTAAAGTTTTTTTATCTCGATTTGCACCCACAAGCAAGTGAAAGTTCTATAGGACAAAAAACCTGAGTGGCTGCTAAGTGGACATAAAGGGAAATAAAACCAGGGAAAGTCAAATTTTGATATCAACCATTAAACTATGTGGACCAAACAGTTCTTAGTAGCGCATTCAACTTAAACGCCTTTTCCTGATATGTAAAGATGTATTTCAGTCGCGTACTTACAAGGTTTTTTAAAGTGAATAATTAATAATCAGAGAGAATTAACCAAGTTTTTAAACAATTATTTTTTATTTTTGTTACAAATTCAATAAGGAAACGCAATTTTCATAAAAAAAAAAGATCGAATTGGCTCAACGAAAACGTTCTTGTGGAGTTGTTGTAGTGTACGGACGTTACCATGGAACATACAATAAGTTAAATTATGAAATTAACCACTGTAGTCTCCACATGAAATTTTTTGGGATATTGTGCTCATAATGCTTTTTTTTTTTAATTATCTGAGAGCTTTCCGGAGCGACTCATACCTGCGGTCTATTACTTTAAGTTCCTTTAAAGGGCATACGAAAGCTGCTATCGAGAACTGTAGGAACGGCGATTTCGTCGGGATTTATAAATACAATGCGGGTCTCTCAACACATTTTCCCTATCAAAGGAACAACTAAGGCACTGAAAAACAACTTTAGTTAGATAGCTATATTTATTAATTTTCACCATTGGACAGTGTAACGTTGCTGTAAGTGTTTCTAATAATTTGACCATTAAATATTACAAAGCGGGGGTGGCTTCAAATTATTTTAAACACTCTTTTACATAACTGGTGGTAGTACAAGCAAGGCTAAAAAGGTGGAAATTTTCCTTGCGACCAGCAGATTTCTTTTAAGCTACGCGTCTAAATCGTTCGACGACACGTTAGCCCAACATTTGACAGTACTGGCTATGGACGATTATGGGGCCAGCTTGGAGGGAAACAAATCGAAAGGTTGGAAAGGCCACTTGAAACACATATCGACACACTTATACTCAATGGGTATGTTTGCCCTCACGAAAGCTGTTAGCTCAACACTTTCCTTAGCGGGAGTAATTATGGGAGGATAGTGTGAGAAAAAGTTACTTTTTTTTTAAACAGCACTAAGGATTAATGCAAAGGCCTAATCTCATTCGCAATCGATAGATAGTTTAGCAACTGCGACGGTCACGTTTCTAATTTATCCGGTAATTAGTGCTCAAATACAGTAAAGTGACTAAATATTATGTGTGGTCTCTGGTGGCAATTGTCGTTTAGATATGATAATCGCAATCAGACCGGATATCGTTTGCGCGATATTAATATAGAACGTGTAGAGGCTGCAGTAAATCTCTCATTTGTCGTGCATAAAGAATATGCCTCACTTTCGCTACCACAGAAACAACAAAGTAGCAATTCTACATCTATACTCTATAATACTTAGATATATGCCATATTTTTGGGTAGTAGAAGTATATATGAAGAATAGTTAAAGTGGCGCCATTACTATTGTTGATAGAATCGCAGTAACATAAAGCTGATTCGAGTAATTTTCTAAATACCCCTTTCTTGGCTACTGCTATAATTAATTAATAATTAATAATAAGCAGATACGCAATAATTAAAATTAAAACTGCGCCAATAAATGCCAGCAGTCGGAAGCTGCCTTACTGATATCATAATCGGATAGTGTTTGGACAACGCCACTCGTCTTTCTGCTAGGTTCGTCTATTTATTCTCGAAAAATGTCATCCACCGCAAGCAACGGTGATAAGCGCGGTAGGTCTTAGTAGGCCAAGTGGTCCAAGTCAAGTGATAACCATGCTGTGCCCCAACATCAGCTATAGGGCGGAACACGAAATAAATATTTATTGCATAAATCGTTTACTTTTAAGCGTAATTAGACGTCTGTTTTAACGTAATATTTATTCCGATGAACGCAGACGGTAACAATACGCTAAACGATCTGAACAAAGCGGTCAGGATGTTAAAAGGTATTTAAACAGGAGTGCAACATGTGTGGAAGACTGCATATTGAATTGGCGCCCATATTTCTATTTTGGATTGTTGTTTATCGTCGTAGTGGTGCATAATAATAAGTATGACGGCCCATTATGTAGGTACTACATTATTTAGGAATTTTGAACACCTTAAAATCGAACTATGATACCTTCAACTACATTTGCGTATCGCCTAATCGTATAATAGTAAATGTAGCAGTTAGGAGTGAACGTTAATTAGTTCTTAAAAATTATAACAATGAAAGCCGTCATATAATTTCACCCAATGCTGTTGAGTTGCAAGGACAGCATGGAAATTCTATGCGCATATACGCATGCGTACCTACGTGTACATAAAGCGTAATACAAATATTCTTTATCTCGTATAACGTTACAGATCTCTGGCTACAGACCGTACGAGATGTGACTCGGCTATACCTACCTACATTTAAGACGACAGAAAAACCTGTCAAGGACCTGGAAACACTTCTATGGCATTTGGCGCAAATCAGAAGAGAAAAAACCCGCAGTGTTGCGAGCACCGAAAACGACAAGTGTATAAGTGACCAAAGACTACAGGGCCTATGCGGCAGAAATGGTCAGGTAAGTGAAAATCAACGGTTGGAATATTCTATATCGCTGATCTTATTCGTGGCCATCTCGTGTGAACTTCGTTATGTCCATTGAGACTTGCAGTATAATAGAAATTTGTACGGATCGCGTCCTGAAGCGGAGTGAAAACAGAGCATTCACTAAACATCGGCAAAGTGACTTTTGCTGGACATGGTTTTGTTTAGTTTGGTATTTAGTTCGAATAAACATAATGCTTTTGAATTAGCTTTCTTTCACGTGTAATGCCGATGGCGCATAGACTAGAACAGGAAAAACTGGCGGTAGTTTTGGCTTGCCGTATGCGCTATCTTCTGCTTTCTGAACCACATCCATCATAGGATTATGCAGCTTGCAGGAAAATGACTATTTCACCTGTACTATAGCCCTACGGCTTAGCGATGAGCCGTCTCTGTTATGTTCGCTTATTCCGTTGCCATAGATAGGTACGGATGACCAGACATTTTTTATTCTTGATATCGTTTTTAAATCATAGTAAATTGCATATCACTTAGGTTAGATTAACACATGTTTACAGTATTATGTTTACCGTAAATTTGCGCCAACGTATATTAGGCTATTTTTCCAGTTTATTCCTTCTTTTAATGATAAGTCGCAGCAGCAAAAATCATCGGTACAATTTTAGACTTCCTCTTTTTTTATCCGCATTCAAAGGCTCAGCCCAAAGTAGTATCTTCCACTGATAGATACATAAATGCAATTAATGCCAGCCTACATCAAATCGTTTCAGAAGTATCTTCCTTGTGCAAACCACTCCAACCCGCGAACTGATAAATATTCATTTAGGGCTCAAAGTTTTTCATGTACAACAACCAAAGGGTCATTATAACAGACCGGAGGTAACGCATTCGCCTACTAAGCTCAGGGACACGTGAAATGGTCTAGGTTAGAATCCTAGCATGTATCAACCACGAGGACGCAGCCTCATATGCAACCGTTAATATTAAACTAATAAAAACATTTCCTTTTGAGTATACTATGACTTACATGCCTTCATTATTTGTATCATTATTTTAGAATCAGATGTTGTTTATTGCTATTTGCCAGCGCCTAAACAGCGTCGCCGTGACTCGACCTCGTACCGATGAATGCATTAGGGGATAAATAACCATCGTTCTAGTGCTATGTGAACTTGCCGTTAAGTAATTTCTTAGGCGTATTTAAGCATAGACGATCTTGCATGTGTAAAGCCGAGTTTAAATAAATATCGTATGGGATGGTGATGGAATACCTCATTTCCAATTCGGTTTGTCCTTGCAGTGTTTACCAGTATCGTTTTTGATGAATTCATTTGATCCTGACCTTGACAAGAATAAGAAGGCCTACAGTTTCGAGTCTGCGCTGACCAGCCTCTGTCCAGTTCTTTTATTTCAATCGCATTTCTGCTCGTTCGTCAATCGCTCAGAAACAACACCACTGTCCCGAAATAAACATGCCACAAGCAATCTATACAGTGATTCGAATGCGACAAATGAAAAGCCAGCGGTGGCCTTGGAGGTTGTCGAAAGCCCTCGACTTGTGGAGGGTCGCTCTAGTGATGTGGCTGAGATGAAGCCTAAAGCAGTGCAGAGAAGCGGCGAAGATAAGATACTATTGCACACGACCAAGCCGGAACCTTTTCAGGGTAAGTAACGCATGCTAGATGAGCCGTAAGCACTGAAGGTTGAGGGGGCCATCATGAGATCTGTGGGAGTAAAAGCTTTTGAGATAATACTGCTAACTGTCAGTGGTAGTATGCTAAATCGAATAAGAACAATAATATTTATCGCCATCAAAGTCAATTCGTGCTAGGTTGTCATTAATCATATGCACCTCGATCTAAAAATTACAGCCAGTTTATTGTTGTTTCTACTATCGTACCCGTATATCAATTACATATATGCCGTATATCATACAGAAATTACTATTGCTACTTAGAGATGCGGGTGTATTCTAAAGGAAGATGCATTCTTTCTTTATATGCGCTACTGCCTAAGTTGTAAGGGCAGCTCGTTCTGCAATACCAAGTATAGTTCAAGTTACCAATTATATGAGGAGTAAATCTGGAGTAATACACTATTTTGTTTTAAAAAAAAATCATAAATGTATAATGTATGTCATACGTTATACATTTATGATCTTTTTTCTCGTTCTCGATATGGTACAATTTACGAATTTAAGAGTAGATTGATCCAAACCAAACCACGGCAAAAAAATCCTCGTCAATGTCATGCCGAAACAATGACAATGTGAAACATTTACAAAAAAGCTAACAAATTAAGTCGTCGTCTAACACGCCGAATGGAGTTTAGACTACAGTGTTTACGTTGAATCGATTGAAAGGTTTCTAGTTTAGGCTCAAATGCGGATTAGTATCAATATAGTGCAGAGGCAGGCGACCTTCGATCATAAGACATAAAATGAATAACCTGGCAAAGAAAACACTCAACAGTATCTATTTGAAGCTTCTCATTGCAGATGACAAGGTTCTGTTCTTTAAAACGAGAGCAACTTTTACAGGCGCACCTATTTTTCAGTGTACATAGAATGCACGGACGTGCTATATACTTGCATATTTACTTTAACCAAAAATTGTTTATGTATTTACTAAAAACGCACTTATTTTACAAAACATGCTTTACGGGATGGAAGTTTTTTATTAGAGTTAAAGAGGCCAACGACCATGGTAGTTCTAATTTTAAAAGGCCAATGACTACTACAGTTATCGATTGCATGTGGTGTGACATTGAAATTCATTAAATGTGATATTTAAATGTGAACAGTCGTTGAATACGTGTGAAGCCGACTAGCTAGTTTGAATCAGGCTATTACTTAAATTACTGGACACACATAAGGGGCACACCCTATTGTGGCATTATCTATCTGATGATGTAATGCTGTTTCAACCTTTCACTGTGCTTTTAATTGACGGGAGTTAAGTAGTCATGGATGTAAAATGTAAAATTCACGTCTGTTAACTTTAGCTATTGTCGGTAACCCTACTGTAGGACCGCCTCGCGAGGTGATCATCTGAAAATTTTGATTTATTATTACCTGATTCTGTGATTATTGCCTGACGGTGTGTAGAACTCGTTCGGCAGTTTCGAACTTTGACGTTTTCCATTTTGCGCGAATTAAAAATTAAGGGCTTGACGACGATCTTTCTCAATATAATGTAGCTAGCTGCCAGGTATTCTGCATATGAGCCTGTTCTGTAGTTTTCAGTCGTCTGAACGCCTATTCTGAAATGCCAAAACACTACTAAAGAACAATAGGACAGCTTCAGTACTACTTGAGAAGATACTGTTTGGATGATGGAATTCGGGCCTTTTGGTTATAAAACAGTCATGGATTGTGTCGTATAATAGATGTTGTTGAGTGAATTATACATTCATAAAGGTCAAGTTTACGTTCAAGTGGTCCATCAAGATCGCTAAAGAAAGTTCATTGTTGAAATGATGGGGTCCTCGTGAGAAGGGGTATGAAAGGCATCGACCATCGGATACTTAGAGGGACGCTTGTGAATGGCGGTAAGCATATCGTCCGCACTGCATCAATTCAAATGCTTCCAGTGGCTCCTTACAGTAACAGGGCGCCTCGATTTTATATTGTTAATACATACATTTTAAGGCCATCTACTAAATTTTTTAATAATATTTGGGATTTTAAACCTTTAGTGAAATACCTGCCATGCATTAATTGTCCTTAAGAACTGTTAAACTCATGAACCAGAAGATAGGCATGGCGATTAATGGAGATCATATATGATAATGGAGATCATATATTATTACTGTAGAACTTGTTTGTGGTTTAGATATCGTGGGTACAAAAATTACTTGTCATGAGATAGAGGTGTTTTGCGTGTTATCCTTGAGAACATCGATACAATTTTGGACGAATATTCAATACCTAAAAATGTTTATACTGGAGGGTCGCCCTAGTCCCCGTGATAGCGTAATGAGTAACGTGTTTGCTTGCTAAGCTTGAAAGACACGTGGCAATCTGGATTCAAATCCGGGCATAGATACACTACGTTTTGTGTGGTGGCCAGTCATCTAGTACAATGCTTAAGTACTAGACGTAAAATCTGAACCATTTAGACGGGTCCGCCAGATGCTTATAAAAGGAAATGAGAAATGTATCCAGTGTATCCGAAGCAACTAATAGTCGACTTTGAAGATGACACTTAATCCACAGTACGTAAAAGAGCAAAAGACCGCATGGAAGCAGGTGATTGCAAACCGATTCTGCTAGTCTGGCCCTTTAGTAACAATCTTACTCTTGAAATAGAAATCGGATACTGTGGCCAGTTTCTCTGTCAAGAAGCATCATTCTTAATCATCCTTCCCTCATGTACATAAGTTTTTTGTTTATAAATTTAGTTTTGCGGGTCTTCAAGGCATCTGTCTTGAGTTACTATCTGATCAGTACTCATTTCGAACTGGGCATGATTTGTTGTGCTGGGGACCTGTCCACTGAAGCGATACTAAACAGTAGTACCAGATGTAACTTGAAAGAAACCAATTCAATTCATCAAGGAAAAAAATCAGAAACAATAAATTCTGTAAAGTTACTGAGTGACTAATAGTGCATTATTTTCTGATGTAACAGTTTTTGACAAAAAACATTAACCCGGATATCATTTAGCAGAATCCTTTTTCATGCAGTTGGACTGCATCAGCTATAGCGCCTGGGCTGCCCTGTAACGTAACGTCATTGTTTTTGCAGGTACACAGACTTCTGTATATGCGCTTTCTCCACTGTGATCGAGCATATCATTATACAATATAATGACGACCGCAGTTACTTCATTTATCAATTCTTAGTTCTTTTATACCTTAGCTTTGGATTCTTCTGACCAAAATGGACCAATGTATTCGTCTTGTTAGCACACATTGGAAAGATAATATACACCGTTAGTCAATGTCAATTTTATGTTTTTCAGTATGGTTATACGGTGTTCTATCGGTTAGCGTTATCTCGGCTTGCTCCCTAACTGGTTTAGCGGTTGTTCCACTTCTGACGCGACAGCTTTTCGACACGATGATGAACGTATTTCAAGGCCTGGCTGTTGGTTCGCTTTGTGGCAGTGCCGTTTTCCATCTTATACCGCAGGTAATTTTCAAACTATCTGTTGAACCTTCTTCACTTGTTTAGCCCTTCTTTTGTTACAGCTCGAGTTAAAAACATCAAAATAGTCGACAAAGCGAGCGACCTGTGCGCTTATAAAAATTGTAATACTTTGTATTTATTAGACGATGCCAAATACCCGGATGTTAACCTCGATTTGGATATTTCTATAAGAGTCGCGTTAATTCTTGTTATAATTTGTTGAGAAGCTGCAATCCAGTATGTTCGGTAGTAGAGTGGTCTAACGTTTGGCTACCAAATTTAAAAACATATGAAGTAACAGGCACAACTCGTTTTGTGCTGAAAGATGCATCCATCCGCAATGATGGCTGGCCGCATTTTCGATATAAAACTTGAGACATTTATTGTAAGAAGATGTAGATGCGTTAGATCCTCGAAAATGGTGAGATCTTTGTGGCAATATTCTATTATTATATCTGCAGGATTTGCAGTTTTATTTTTTTGTTGGTGGTCGTTGTGTACGGAAGACAAATTTAACCACTGGTGAATGAAAAATAACCTAACAGCCGAATGAGACAAAAATACGGCGCGAGTATTTTTTTTGTAGACTGTCTGGTGCTTATCGATTAAATTATTTTCCGTTCAGCGATCTAATCTATTGGGTGACGACCAGAATCGTTTGTACTCAAAACAATTAGGGCATGGCGTCGAACTCCGATTTTAGATGAGAGAGAGCGCCATCGTATTGTTTGCATAGTAACCTATAGCGACATTTGTCGGATAGCGAATTTCGGCATGTTCGACCTTTAAATGAGCCGGTAATATTGTATGCTAACGGTAATGTTTGTATATTCGCAATAATATGGATCAGAATATGGTTACGCGATCAAACTAACCGGTTTTGGTTTTCACCTACGTAGCCTTTGAAAGCATCAGTAGCACCTGTTATATAAGATAAGTGTCATCAAAAAGAAGGTTATTTTCTATTGAACATGAATATGACATCCTATGCATAGCTCCACCTTGATGGCTTGCCGTTTTAAGTGTTTCATCAGCAGCGAATCTGACTGATGGTATGGGCTAGACGTGAGTGACATTGGCTTCCAACCTCTATACATGCTCGTCTGATAGAGATTGAGATCAAAAAGATGTACAAAAAGTGTAACTCCAGCATAAGCGCAAATGAGCTCTGTCTCTTGTTCCTTGTTTTGTATTCAATAAAGATGAGTATTCTTCTTCTGTTCTGCTCTTCCATCTTATAGGTCGTAAATGTTACAGTGTGCTTTGTAAATACAGCGTAGTGATTTTGAGCGCTAGAACCAATTTAAAACGATAGTTAGTGTTAGAACTTTGAAATAGCCGTGATAACCTTTGTGTAATGATGAGCTGGTGCATGTGCAAAAAACGCACGCCGCGTTTTTCTAAGCAGATTAGTTCGTGTGATATACATACATACTATCAATTGCACTGCTTTGAAATGTTCCTGGTACAGGCGTTCGCCTTAACCGAGCACGATGCAGGCTATTTATGGAAAAGCCTAGTGGTCATCTTCGGCATTTATTTTTTCTATCTATCGGAGAGAATCATGAAGTTATTGGCCGGTCTACGAAAGGAAGAGAAAACGAAATTGCAGCTAAATTCGGTTGTTGCCGACGAGTCTGGAACGCTTGTAGACTCTCATGCCCATACACTGCATAGTCATTCACACGCTCACCCACCTAAAAGTACGTGAATTTGTTTAGATTTAGTTCTAGCCTATTCTAGCTAATATATGTATATATATGGGAGAGGGCGGCATTTCGACCAGATGATGCCGTTTGCTCTATTTTTTTCTCAATTTATGAGTGAATTGTGTTGAAATTGCATTTCGTCATTGTTAAATATCGATCGAAATATGTTAACACGTACACATGCAGTTGACAGCTTGGGTTTATGAATTTGTATTCTCGCTTATTTTTTATTCGTCCTAGACGGCTCAATTGCGTCTGTCGCATGGTTGATAATCTTTGGAGATGGGATGCACAACTTCATTGACGGACTATCTCTTGGCGCGGCTTTCAACAACTCAATCCTTGGAGGGATTTCCATTTCGGTAGCAGTCATTTGCGAGGAATTCCCACATGAACTTGGTTAGTATTTAGCACGGTAATATTGCTGACTAAGTTGCCAGCTGCTGTATTGCATAGCTTTTTCAGTAGAATTACGTCACGTGTACCACGTAGATAAACGGCCACCAAATTAATTCTGGGATCTGATTTTGTCTATTAGGTATAAGCAGCAGGAATAACAAGTCGATAAAATGCATTCAATATATAGTAGCTCCTTGTGTTAATCCAACTTCATTAGTAATTTTATAACATTGATGTTGTTCATGTCGGTCGCAGGTGACTTTGCTGTACTTTTAGGTGCAGGCATGTCTGCTCGACAGGCGGTACTATACAATTTTCTGTCCGCCCTGACCTGTTTTCTTGGATTAGCGGTTGGAATTCTCGTGGGAGATTTAGCAGAGGGAACACCGGCCATCTTCGCCTTTGCGGGAGGCATGTTCCTTTATATATCACTTGTTGGAATGGTGAGACGACTTTCGAAGATGTACAGTTGTTTTCGACCAGATTTCAACGAGTATTTCCGAGGGTTGTGTTTAAGGGTTTTTGGGGCCTTACGATGAACAAACGACTCGCCTTGTTCTTTTATTGTTTTGTTATTAGCTTTGAGTCGTCATCGCCATCGCTTCTAGTGGATAGGAGTCACGGCTAGCAACTGAGTACGAAAACGACCTATGTGGCCGGCGTAAGGAGGAGTCTAAGGTCCAACCAGATTAGTTGCGAAGCCCTAATACTGGCGGAGATTTAATCGATTCGATATTGGTTGTTTCTTTCGTTTTTATGTATTTATGTGGCAGATGGGCGAGATCAACGACGTTGTCGAGCGCATTCAGGGCTTTAGAGGGCAATTGCGGGCGCTGCTACTTCAGAACATCGGGATTGTGGTTGGTGTAGCGACCATGTTTGTCATGGCAAAATATGCCGAAGTAATAGACTTTGAAGCTTTTTCGTTAACGGAAGACGATGAAGCTGTCCTGTCAGACACGCTAGCTCATATCAATCGCAACGTTAAGGGAATGCTTGCGACAGGATTTTAATCTGTTAATCACGAATGCTGCTAACAGTAGACGAAGCACATGTTTTTCAATTGTCAGCGATGTTGTAGATCCTACGACTACGCTGTTTCTCTGTAACGCCAAATAGCCAACGTAGATGGCTAATTTCTTTTCACATGTTTATTGAATGATTGCAAATTTTATTGCCATATATACAACTTAAACGTTCACTACTACAGCCACGCCGTTGACAAAAAGACTCATAAACAGGTGACGTGGACGCAGTATAAGTATTGTATAGTCAATATAATTTCTACACACATTTACAAGTTCCTTTATCTCTTTATGGCTAAATGATAAGTATCAAGGATGGCATCAGGGAGATTCCTATAAGGGAGATAACGATAAGTTAAAAATGGAGTATTCTCCCGTACCGACGGGACCCGATCCCATATGCGTACTTGCTCACATAACCCGCATAGTTGTTTTTACCTATAGTACGTTGCGAATATTATTTCCATCTGGGAATTGCCACACATATGCTTGACGACGAGTATCAGACAGAGAATCTTTGGGGTTTGGGTATATGAAAGCTGCTCAAACATAACGACAGGAAAATAGGAAGACGCCAGCCCTTGACTTGGCATGTAGACCTCAGTAGGTGTATGCCGGCCAGTCCAAAGGGCGCCGTAGCGGTCAGGTACATAGAGTTTATGACTATTATTATTATTATATTGATGATGATGTTGATTATGTGGTGTGCACTATCGCCAGGCGCAAAGCAATCTAGGTATATTTATAGATTAATTAATAAATGAACTTGGTGTGTAAATGGAGAAAAGACGGCAAGAGATAAAAAAGATAGGGCAAAGCAGAGTATCTGTCATCTGTTTTTGCTTTGTTGTATAGTACATGTTATTATTATTATTATAAATTGCCTAGTTAGATAAAGTGAAGGTTTAGTCTGACACGATGCTAAACTCAACTGCACGCTTCATACGTGCGGTTCGACGTAGCAACAAAGAGTTGAAAAAAAACTTTGTAGTTTTTAGAGATGTATCCGTTCCTTCGGAGGGCATAGAAAATATATTGTCATAATTTTCCTTTTTTACCTAGAAATTTCAAGGCTAATTTAGCTCTCAAAAAAAGGGGCATTCTAGCATTCGTTTCCATTTAACGCACGACACACATATCAGATAAAAACCTTTCAGATGCCATGCCATAAACTCTAACAAATTCGACGAAACCAGTTTTACAGGCAATTGCGCCAAGTTTACAGCAGTTTTTGTTATTATCTTGATTACTGATATGTGACTCGCAAATGGTATAACAGTAACCATAAACATATGCATGTAAATACAAGCGCTATGGTAGCCGGAGCTGGGCGTTCAACTGTAAATGTTTCATAATGTTTGCAATGAAAAAGACAATTGTCAGCGATGCTTAAAACGTAGCTATTTTTCATGAAGAGAAGAGTGTTCGAATCAATTGAAAGCCATACAAAGGAGCAATATGCTAAAATCTGTGCACTATAATACAGTTCAAATTACTGTATATTACGGAACGTCAAATCCATTTTACGTATGTGAAATTATTATAGCCATTTTATCAATAATCCCCCTGTGCCATCACATTATCCTATGGGTTGCAATTATTTTCACCCAATTTATAAGCTTAACATATATGCTCGTTAGTCTTATAAATTGAGTATACACAATTTGATATATATATGTCACAATGTGTTCAGTGCACAGCCGTCATATATATATATATATAAATGTCACTTTTAAATAATGACATTGTAAAACTAATACTGTACACTATCTGTCTAATATTTGATCAACTGGACGTCGCACAATACGATTCGCTGCCGAAATTTCTTCCCTTTAGAAAACGACCGAAATTAGCACAAGCTCAAGAACACATTGTTAACTAATCGTTCAAAGTATGTACAAAGAATATATAGAATGCTCCACACGTTGTATATACACCGTTACAATGGAGAAGACCACGAAAGCGCTAGCGAAAATAGCCGCACGTAAGTAGGACAGAGTTTGATTTTTGATACCAGTACGCAGAAACTTGAATGCAAATGAGGCGAAGTGCAGCATGTACATAAAGAGAGATTCGAACTTCATTTGACCACTGGGCTGAGCGAATTTCAGATATGGTCGAGTACAACAGTTTATCATAGTGTACGTTTGCGTTATAAGCAAAATATTTTTAAATTTCAATACATCTCATATGTGTGTACATGTGTTTTCATTATAACTGCATGCGTTGGTGCTATTCCGAATAATTATCGGGTTGTTAAGAAAACGATGGCCGTTTTTGTTTCTTGCTGCTAGTAATTTATTTAGAAATGCTCAAGTGTTAAGAAGACTATACAGGGTGCACAGGGTAATCATAGCTTTGCCTGGGACACAAAATTTTAGATTGAATTTGAGGTGATTTTTAAGTAGTACGCTTACACCATATAGACTCCTTATCGTAGTAGCCACATATATTTATAATTGTTTCGCCAGCTTGAACTAAAAATAAGGTCTTCGGTACTTATTAAGGTCGAAAATAGTGCTTTTTGCAACCTAATATATCTTTTTGTGATCTATGAAATTCGGATAATGGGTGAGATAAGAGCTTACGCAAAATTTCCCCACCGACAAGAAAAATTAGATTCTTGATCGATACATGGAAATCGATTTCTAGGACTCGTTCACGCGGAAAAAAATAGAAAAGCGAAGTAATAAAGAAAACAGCTATTACTTTCTGAATTCATGATGTAATAATCCAGTTACCTGTGTTGAAGAAACGAGCAGATTTCTATAGGCGCTTTTCTGAAAATATTTAATAACAGTATTACTGTTATTTTATTGCCGAGAAGAAACGTTTTCTTTACAAACCATCGATTAATAGTTAAAATATTAGGACACAAACCAAAGCAAGCCAAAAAAATATTAACAGATCCGACCGCAGGAGATGTACTAGATGTGTCGCTAAATAAAACATCGAGATTAAGAACCCAACATTTTGAAATAAATTTGTCCTTAATTTAAAGGTGTATATAGGTACTTTTTTATGCTCGTTAAGCAAAACTGCCCAACCACATTCTTGTTTGAAGTGTATTGTGCGTTACGATGATCATCAATAAAATAAGTAAATATTCAAAAAGACATCTCATTTTCATTAGCTTTCTAGTTCTAGAACTGATTTTTGAGGCGATAAGTACTTCGTGGGGCCGCCTACGCTGCTCGGGATTTGCCTACCCTGTTTAATTTAATCGAAAATAGAGACTAGGCTTCCAGTACGATGACTTTTACTTAGTTGACAATTTGAAACTGAATCTATTTTAGCTACTCCTGCCACAAACAAGTTAGCATCGTTTGTAGCTGAGTTTAGTATCTTATGTAGATTTGTGTCAACGTAAATCCATTTTAGATTTACGTTAATTTTTGGAGCTAAGGTTTTTGGAGCTCGAAAAAAAGTGTGAGTCTACAGAGGAACCCCTTGTTTGGAAATGACATATTGGGGTCTCATGCAAAGCTATTGCAAACATAAACCAGACCTACTTGCCTCCGAAATACAAGATTATTGAGGTAGTGCTAATTTTACAAATATCTTTCGGCTTTTTCCGCAGCTACTTCTTTCAGAGCGTGTAGATAGTAGCTAGTTGCAAGCGATTCAGAAAAGGTAATTGCAGATGCCAATAATGAAAATGTGTATATAATCTAAAGTGTAGGCTAAAGTCTTTTTTATGAAGATGTATGCTATTTCGAATTACCGTCTCTTCACGCGATTTAAAACGAGACTATTTATCATACGTGAGTACATACGGGAACATTTTCTAATGCCTATTGCACTGGCAGCTGAGCAAACCAGATCGTCGCTCGATTTCGCTTCTGTTCTACTAATTACGTCTATTTAATCAGAAGCTTTGATCTGAGACAACTGTTCGAGCCGAACATCTCGCACTGGTTACGGTACAGAACTGGTCGAATCATGCCAGTGGCGCACGTATCCTCCGTAGGCGCATCCAAATGGCCACTTTTAGAAGCAGCTGACTGGTATCTGTAGCAAGAATAAACCAGAGACGCTTTCGAATCAATAAAAGGAAACAAAACATTCAAAATCAGACATTTGCGTCTCCATTGAATTTAATAACTAAGTTTATACTAAACTAAACTGTAAAATATTTAGTTGACTAGAAACGACCATGAAAAAAAGCAAATAAATCTACAAATATAAAGGTATACATTCTTGAAGGCCATGGTCTCTCATCTATGGGATTTCTCTTTAACGAATGAATTACATGCGGCATATTGTCATATTATAAACGCCTGTCTAGGAAAGCAGCACTGAACTTCTCTCTCGCAAAGTATCAGAATTAATTTTAGATATGAAATCGATTTTTATATGTCATTATGTTAAGTTTAAACAGATAATTATTTTCAGGACATGTTTGAGAAGCCTGTGTGTTCATAACTTGACCCATAAATATGGGCCTACTCAGTAGATGCACAGTTATTCAACTATATTTGATTATACGTGCATGATTATGCGTTTGTTTGTCGGCCTTATGTTCTATTATAGAAAATAATTAAATGATCACATGTGTATGATCTACGTTATAAAGACATAAAATAGATGGTTAGCTTAGTTTAGACTGTTCGTCCCATGTTATCAGTGTCCTGAATTTTGGTGGACCTTACACTATCAAACCTTGGTCATAAGGCTTAGTTTGTAGTCAGGCATTTAGCCTTCTAACTATTCGGTTTTTATAAGTAAATGTGCACATATAGAAAATGTATTGAGATTGAAGAATACAAATTGTATTGGTTTGAAGCTGAAGCAAAATCTTGTTAGCTTAAGTTGCACATACGAAACCCTTCCGAACAAAAGTTAAAACTACGCCGAGGCTTTAACTCTATTCACTTTTCTGCTAAAGTTTAAATTTGTGGAAGAAGTAACTCAACAGATATTATATGGAAAATACTTAGTTGTCTAAGAAATAGGTCTCGATTGAGTGAGTGACAACATAAGTGTGAGTTGTCCGTGTCTAGGAAAACCTGCTGTTCTTTTAATTGCTGCTTTAGTCAGTTAATTAACATAATTTGTAATAGCAAGTAGAGATAGTCGAAATTCACAATTTTCCACGCTTTATTTTTCAGCTTTGAACTGAAATGATTCACAAACTTCTTCTTGTAGCAAGAGACCTACGGGTACCTGCATGAGGCTAGACCTAAAACCCTACTAAACGCCAACAGGTCTAGAAAAGTGCTGCAACAAATTTCAGCTGTACAGAATGCTAACATAGCACTTATTTTGATATAATCAAATATCTTCGCAGGAGCAGAAGAAGCAATTCTAGACGACCTAGTCTGTTGTTATCAGAAAAAGAATTCGGAGTAGCGATCGTTAACGAGAACACATGTCTGTCACTGTAGAATAAGAGCGATACATGTTTTCAAAGAGACTAAGTGATTTCAAGCAACAAAAACCACTTCAGTAGAAGAAATTCTCGGTTATAGGAGTGCCGAGAAGCTTTACTACGAGATTTTTGTTGAAAAAAAATACCGCTAGACTGGACATTTGCTCTAATCCAGCGGCGGGCTCTTATAGGCTAATCGATTGCTTCTTAACTCTAGAATCAAAATAGACACACAGAGCTACATCGAGAAATCAGTTAGCCTTGGAGGTTGAATTCTGTTAGGTAGATGTGATAGTTAGAATACGCTCGAAATAGTCAGTGAATTCGACGACTCATCACTATTTTTGGTCTATATCAGATATGATCTACGGCTAGAGATTGCTATTCCGATGTCAGTAGATAAAATAGATGTCCAAATATTTGGTTATTCATCAAACTTTGCCAATTGCCAGGATGCTCAAATCAATGAAAAAAATGTTACCGGTATTATTTTTCACAAATGAAGCTTTTTGCGGTTTTTCGATAGCTTCGTATTGCGTTGCAGCTGTGTCAAAAAAATGCAAAGTCTTAGCTTTATGCCGATACTCTTACCCCAATGGTTGCTTATAACGTAACGAATGAAAATTTCCTATTACTTTATCTCTAATAGTTTTTTTTGACTGACATGAGATGGTATTAAAGCAAAATATTCTTATTTTTTTTTAGTGATTTGGTAGATATTTATAGGAAAATCTCATTAAGTGAAAAACTAGACTTTGACAAAGAAGATGAAAAAGAATAAGAATATTTTCCATATCATCAGATTTTCCTATAAATATCTACCAAATCATTTATTCTGATACATTTTCATATCTCTCAATGGATTGAATATCGACAGGGCATGGTCCCACTGGTAAGAAGCTCCATTTTCTAAACTCTCACTGGTTCACTCGTAAATTGGCCATTAGAAAAGATACTTTGCCCATTTTTACTCATAGACAAAATTGGCAAAGATCTCCTTCACTCCTTCTAGTTATCCAAAGGTAGCTTTAACGAAACCCTAACTCATTGAACCTCTGAGCCAGCTTAGACGATTGTGTGCGTTTAAACAGACGTAACGCTTCAGTCGTTCAAGCCAGCGTAAAATCATCAGGCGTGGAGACTCTATGTATATATTTGCGTAGAGCCGCTGGATTTCCTAGGAGCGCCATGACAGCGGCAAAACAGAGGCCACAGCGGCAGCCCAATCATCCACGAGAGCGCTAAGATAAAATTATGTTCTCTATTCTCGATCGCTTTGCTATTAGCAAAACCGAAACGGCTCATCTATGTAGCGTTTCGTGCTATTTCCAGCCTAACTATTATTTGACCTATTGACGCTGCAAACAGATACAATCGAACTCGCGACGTCCGTCACGACCGTGATCTATCATCAGCAATTTCACACTGAATCTGACTATCCGAAATGCCATGGTGCTCTACACAGGTGATGTCGTTCATGCGCGGGTGAGCCTATATTGGCTGGCCCAATGTTGATAGGTCCCCGCAACGATGCAGTGGTGAAATGTCTGCCTATTGGACTAAGGTATATGTGCACGGGCCTGTTGGTTGACTCAGTGATAAGTTTCTGCTGTAACTTAAGCACCATTCACAAACCTTCTCGGTATATATATAGATATCAAGTCTTCCTCTACTACAGCTACTAGTAATGCTAGTTAAGTTCATACGCTGATAGGCATGGCATCATCACTGACAAAAGCATTAAATCATATTTTCTCATATTTTAGTGCCTTATATAGGTGTGTCGTTATATGACGATCAATCCCTTGCCGTTCCTTCTCACTTTATTCTCTATTCCTGCTACCTCTCATTCTGTGACCGGGAATTTCGATTGAACTCTGCGTCTGTTTGCCTTTCAACGGAGCGCTGTAGGAGCATATGTAGGGAACTATACAGCGAGAGATGGTGGGAAACTTAGTATAGCTAAAATATTTGAAGCGGGTACTCTACTGCTACTACTACTACTATTAGAAACTACCACAGTATTACACGATGCCGATTCGATTTATCGAGATCCCGTCACAGCCCAACGGGAATGGCGACATGGCGAGATGCCATCGCGTCCACGAGGTGCACCTGTGTTGCGTGGCCTGATCTAACGGCACCGCTGAGCGCGGACCTCTATCATCGTTCGGTCGTACTTCAGTTAAATTCTGCCAAGTTTTTGTGAATACTGTTGGCCACCAGCTAGTCACTACGATAGCGGCGGTGAACTTCGATCGCCGACCACACAGGGGCCGTTGTTACTGTGACGTTGTTGCTGTGTTGGCAATATCCGACGTAAGAGAATCGAATCAAGTAAAGCAGGCAAAGGTAAAGCGTTTATAAAGTTTGTCCAGCCGCTATCCGGGGCCCCGAGCGCCTCTAGCTGAGCAAACTTTCAACGAGTATAAAAGACTAGAGTACGAAGTGATGCCCGTTCATAGTCGAGATGTCCGCCCGTTGTGCTGCTAACAATAGTTCTTCTGACCTCGATATCGTCCTTCGACTTCTGAGGTCCGAGTGGCTACTTAAGTACCATTACTGCTAAATCACTAATGAGCTAGGTAAATAGGGAGACAGTCTAATTGGTAGTTGGTGACTTCTCTTGGTAAGGTTCTACCAACTACATTGGACACTTGTTTGGATGTTCGGTGAGCGTGATCTGGTTTGTAATGTGGCCGTTATCGGTGGTAATTACAGCGTGTTTGTAATACCGTTAGTGACATATTGATGTTGCGAACCGGAGATTCTGACACCCCCTACGGTAAGTAAGGTAAAAAAATTCAATTATTGCTCGACCTCATTTTGTAAGCTTTTTGTATTAACTAGCATCAGTTTAGTTCGTTGCGTATCTTATATTTCTCAACCGCTTTTCAGAGCTATTTTCGCCAGTAACGAGGCGGGTCCGGATCTGATGCTAAAATAGCAATGCTAGCTATATATGCTTTAACAATTTAAAGGTCCTGTACGGCTTTGAACCAACTTTTTGTCTGTCATCTTAATGGATTAACCCATTTCGATTTTTTGTCAATTACTAACAAACTTTAATTGGTTTTTGATGACAGATGACAAAGTTAATCAATTCCAATAAATTGATGTGACATAATATTCACGCATTAATTTTTCCGTAGAAAAAAAAATTATGCTTGCACTCCATTAGCTAACTCTAATAATTTGTTGACGCACCTGCAAATTAATCAATACATAGTTCAATGGGTGTTTAGTCTTACAAGTCATATTTCAAATTTGCAGATCCCTCAACGTCCAGCGTCAAAGTTACAACCAAAAACATCAACAATTAGGAGCCCGTGGTAGCATTGGCAAGATGGTGGCATAGTTGCGATAGCAAGCACCAACTATTCTCCATCAGGCCCGTGGACACGGCGCTCAGGTCTTCATGAAAACTTCGAGGAAATGTTGCTGGTCTTAATGTATACTGGCCTTGACTTGTACTAAAGATGGTGTCCCTAAGCCTCTAACTGTTTTTTGAGAAACCTTAGCGACGCCAGCTGAAATAGTTTAGGTTCAACACTGGCCGCAGACTCACTTCGTTTTCTAGTTGAAATATTTATGGGTTTGTAGTGAAGGTGTGGCGTTGATCCTTTTTCTAGCACTGATCCCGAACAGTGAGCACATGACTGCACTTAGATCTGTCATGAGGAGTTAAGTGGAGAACTTTTTTGTAAGGCTAGACAATCATATTATGTTCTTGATGGTTCTTGAGAGCATTCAGTAAAAATATATATACTGAATAGTAACCCGTAATGTTTTATGATACCTTTTTTCCTAGCAGACACTCTAAGATCTTAGTGCTGTTTATTTTGCATTATTTAGCTTAGCACTGTATTTCGTAATTCATGACTAATGTATTCATTGTTTATAAGCTCTCCTAGCACCTACATATTTACATGCATTGTGAAATTTTTCTTACGCTTCAGCTGCTAACAATTAATTTGAACAAATGCCCATAAGAGTCGTACAGCGTGTTAGATATCCAATATAATTGCATGAAAATATTTATTTAATTATAGAATATAATACGATAATAATTGAAATTAAAATAAACCAGTTTAACGCATGCAAACACCATTGTTCACTATACATTGGACTTTTAGACTTCAGAAAAACTGGTCGCTGCACTTCATTGAATTAATAAAGTGAGTTAGTTGTATCCGCCTGTCAACGATGTCAAAGATGTGCATGAGTTCCGGCCAAATATTCAAAGTACTATGTTGCAAATAAGAACGAATAAATCTCAATGCAGTATGGCAACCAATAAGTACCTTAAATATAAATATAATTAGTCGTCGACGCAGTAGCTTGAATGACTAGACCTCCTGCTGTTAGCGACAGGGCTCGTTGGTGCAATTTTCAGCATCGACATGAACGTTATGTGTTACTAAATTAAGAAACATAATAATAATTGACGTTAACTGTGACCATAATTAAGCTAGCTAAAGGTTACAATATTTAATATATTAGATCATTTAATGATATTATACGTAATCAATAATTAGAAAGGATGTCGTTTTTATACTTGTTACTCCGCAGATGGCTGAAAGTATACACCGTAATTTTCTTTAAAAATTGTCTCTAGTTACGGGCGAGCTTTTGTTGGCGTAGTAAATCCGGCGACTTATAAGCCTTCTCTATTGCAGCGGTCTTGACATCTGGTCACCTTCTTGATTGTCTTCAATACTTCCACTTTTTTTCCGTTTTTGAAACGTTTGCACCATTAATGTACTGTGCTTTCGCTAAAGCCTTCTTTGCCTAGTGTCTTCACAAATTTTTGATGAATCTCCACAGCGCTGTGGCTTTTGAGGAACAAACATTGCACCACTACGCGTTGACTTTCGAAACTGGAAGATGTCCATCCATCTGAATTCTTTACTCCTGAAAGAAACTCGATCGGCTTTAGCTCACAAGTTCCTAGAAGTCTGGAATACTTTCCAGCCAGATTTGTGTGTTAGAGGTACGCAATTTAAGACTTATTGAATTTTCAAGTCCATCGGATTTTGAAAATCAATAAATAACTAAGAGCCTAATAGCACATACACTTCTGGAAAATTCAATTGTAACACCAGTTCCTTGTTATCAAATAAAGAAAATAAAGCCAAGGGGCTCCAAAAACTAAAATCGCATTAATGATTCCGTGTCGTATGGATGGCGTTTTCGATATTTCTTTGTTAAAAGCCAGACGCCACTTCAATGCGGGTCAATTTAAGGTCGCTCAGCGCACATTTATTTGTTTAGCACATAGGCTGCCGTTGTTGATCATGAATAGTGCTGTTCAGCTTTCAACATTTCTTTTATTACCAAGGGAACTGTAATAAACAAATATTTCGAGTATAATTATTTCACTGAGCTGTATTCTGTGCAATCACAAAGATATTAAATTCATTGGAACATTTTGACCGCTCTTTCTACTCTCATTATTATATGGAAGCCTTCATTATTCCAGCAGCGTTAGTTTTTTTTTCAATCGAATACAATGCAGATCGTTGCTAAAATAATTACAACAAATCATTGTGAATAGTTCTGTGGCCATAACAGGCGCAGATACTTCTTTGCCTTACATGAGAAAGCGTTTGATGGCACACGGGCTACAAGTGAAATCGATTAACGGACTGAAATTCAGTGTAGCGTTTGAATTGAGTAAATAGAAATAAGCAAATACTTCAGGAAACGTGCGACACACACACTAGCAGTATCAGACTCACAAAATGTCACACTGTAAGCTTGAGCAATACTGTGGATGAGGAAATTTGGCGAAAGCAGAGTCGTCCGTTCCTTTATTTTCTGTCAACACAATGGGATTTTAGGTATTTGATCTTGAGTAGATCTAGATTTGTTTTGTAGAAACATGTAATTGATATCTTATACCTCTGTAAGAACCAAAAATTAGCATTCTTCAACCTGTTAAAGCCAGAAATTATATTGTAAAATCATTTTACTCGCCTAGCAGGTGCTGGTGACCGGCTTACTTCCATCGCTTTCAAATGTCCCGCCATTTCCGATGGCGAGAAGGAACTCAGAACCTCGTTGCATGAAGTGTATTTTGTAAACACAGTCCACCACAGCTTCATCCTCTGTGTCTCGTGTGTTCGACCGGCTTTTTTTATTGGCAAAAAAGGTTTGATCAGAGATTGTTTATTACTTATTTGTTCCATAGAAAGAGATTAAGACGATGGTTCGGCTACGACAACGCTATATGCTCTGCGAAGTCGTACATAAATCTGGAGATAAATTCCGAACGTGCAATGTTAGCCGCAATGAAATCGAACAAGCAGTTCGCGCCCAGCTGGCAAAGTCATATGGTATATACGGGTCTGTCTTATGCAGGGAAAGTTCGATCAAGTATTTTCACCAACCAACAGGTAAGTTCACATAGCGAGTAACCACATAGGTGGAATTAATCAAGAGAAGCACACTAACACGTCGACAGGCTTCAGAGCTTTTGGCCTAACTTGATCTGATAACAACTTTACCTATTCAAAGCTTCAGAGTATGTTAAACCTTATAAAACCAATGCATTTCCTCCAGTTTCTATGCATCGGTATATATTGCAACTATGTTTTTTAAATCTCTAATGATTTGACATCTAAATTACAATAAACGCAAATAAATAAAATTACAAGTAAATTACAATAAAAAAGGAACGACAATAAACCTAAAATCATATTAAATTTGTTAAACTGGCAAATGATTAATGGATATTTGGCATTCTTTTGCCGGATCTAATAAAAACCATAATCCTGGGTATCAATATACTGATGGCTATGAATTTTCATAACGCTGATATCTCTTGTCCATTCTTTTCATTACAGGCATGGTAATATTTCGGTTCGCGCCAAACGGACAGCGAATCTTTGGCGGAGCAATCGCCCGGACGACAATAGGAGAATTTCACTTGACAATCAAGCAGGCAAGTGATGGTAATCGATACATTAGTGTTTTTAGTGTAAAAGATACAGAAATCCATTGTTTCGTTACATATATAGTTTAGCTTTGCTTTCAAGTTCAATGCTACTCTACTTATATTAAGCAAATATTGTATGTCCTTTGTGCTTATATAACGATTTTTCAAATCAACGTAGCCTTCTTCGCTTGTTTTCTTTCTTCAAAAGCTTGTACAGCAAAAATACGTTTGTAATGTATAGGGTTATTAATACTCGTATAAACTTGACGATACTCTGTCTTCGTCTACGCTGAAAGGTGGCTGGAACGTGCCGAACAGTCAACAAAAAGTTGATTGAACTCTTCCGGAACGATATCGCGCAAGCACACGTCATTTTTGAGAAGTTCGAGGATTCGCGAGCCAAAGTGAGAGAAACGGAAGCTGAAGAACAACTTGAGCAACTTGAAAGCGGCGAAGGTGTCACATTTTGAATTGATATTGCCTGTACTGATGTGTTCGCGAGATCGCTCATCAAATGATTGTATTTATTTACTTGTAGTGCCATGTACATTACAATGAGTAAGGAAGTAGGTCAAAAAGGCTGTTTGTGTCTATAAACACCGACTTTAAACTTCTCTGGGGGGCGTTCGAACAAAGTCGTTTTCTTAAGGAAGGTCTGTCATTGTTTCTTTTTCATCAGCAGTCATTAAAATTAGGAAAGCTGATTATTCATACAATGTGTTCTAAAAAAAATAAATATTTATTTCACTTTGTGAAAAATGCTCAGAAGGTAAAAGATAATGTGGCATGTGGCAGAGTTTCAAATTTTCAATAGTTGTGACATGCTACAGATTAAATAAAAGACGTTATTTTCAGATTGCTTCTAGAAGTACTCATAGTTGTGTTACGATGCAAAATCAGGTCAAAAAATGTAACATCGGCATAAGGTAACGAGACCTAGACAGCTTTGTGTTTACTTGAACAACTCATAGGGAATGTTGCTATCGAACGAACGTACATTTCAGAACTGGTCAGTGCCTTGCATTCATATTTTAAAGAAGCTTGCCTAGAAAACTCAATGGTCGACAAATCAAATGTGAAGTTTAAACTCAAAAATATTTATGTATATTACACGATAGTTAGGACCAAATTTATGTATATTACACGATAGTTAGGACCAATTAACATGTAAATAAATGAATGCTGTATTAAAATTCAAAATAAATGTTGGAATCGGTTCTGGCACATGTGTAATGAGTACAACGAGCATGAAGTTACCGTAGAGATTGGCTCGAGATTTATTAATTAATTTTAGGATGTGGTATTTGTGCTCAATTCATCGATATCAACATATCTATATGACATCTATCATGTAGAATATGTCGCTGATGTATGCATATATACTAATTAGTGAGTGACAATATACTCAAAATTCTCTCGATATCTATTCATACATTTCAGAAGTCACATACATGTCATTGTCTTTATGTCTTTATTTAATTGTCAACAATTAAACAATTAAAAGTCAACAATTTCATTTTAAATTATAAAACTTATGTTTGTCTAATTTATGAATTATTTTTTTTATATTACGAATTATTAATTTAACAAAATGAATAGATGTGTACTGCAGAATTGTCATAGTTATGTAAATTTCATAACGATAAATCATTTTCGCTTAAACAGTAACATTTTTTAAATAGGAAACGTTAAGAGGCCGAGAGGATTTTATGTTGACACATTTAACAGATGTTCAGTGCAAAGGCATGAGCATGCCTGGGAAAATATTTTTTAGGTATTTTAGAACTAGTAACTGTCAGACGCAGTTTATTCACTTAATTCAATTGTAATTGCCAAGCGTTAGAAGCTTAGCGGCAATAAAATTATTACAATTATACTAAGGATATGTACAGTGTATAGCCGATCAGTCAGAATAGAACCACTCAATAACAACTCTGCCTTACGTAAGAATGTATATTCCGGAAAAAGTTAAGTCATGCCAATAGTAAATATACTTAATAGCAAACAATATAATTACTATTCTTTATTTATTAAAAAACGACAGACCAATTCAAGTGTATAAAAGATTTAGAATTTCTTTTTCTACTTACGGCACCAATAATATCAAACATTTTTTTGGACATTCTAGTGACACAATTTTTTTTCAGATAATGTGTGTTTTCATGGTGAGTTATGCTCAATGTTTTTTTTAATGTGCAAACTGTGCTAAGCAACTCGCTTTGATAAGAAGTTATAGAGTCTGCTTCATTTCCAAATTCTAAAATTTTCGCTTATAGATTGCTCCAAACAGACGGTTTCAAAAAAAGATTTTGCTACCTTTCTTTCTCCTGGACAGACACATTTTCAAGTAGCACGTCAAATAAACACGGAAGTGCAATTGTTAGCTGATTTCTGTATGTTGGTAAAAATACGGAAATTAACGATCGGAGTTAAGCAAGACTTTTATTTTCTTTTTAAAGATTTGTGTCGGATAAGAAGACTTGAATTAAATTGAGGTAACTGAAACTTCCACGTATACTTATACAAACATATTTAAAAGTTATGTAAGATAGAAAGCGATCTCTCCATCGCAACGAAAAATAGGTAGCGTTAAGAATTTCGCAAAAGTCAAGTATCTACCAGCTAATCAAATGCACGGTTTTAAAATCACGAATCCTCGACCTCGAGAAAATTATTTAAGGACGCCAAGCGCACCCAGCCTTGTAACCATGGTTTGTACAATAGTGTCCAATGTGCCCGAAAACTATGATGTATTCGAGATTAAGGGTCGGCTAAGAAACAGAAAAATCCATTACCACCGCAATATAGATATACCGGAGGAGCAGCAGTTTAGCTATGCTTAACTCCTGAGGTAGTACTCTAAATGAAAATTCGCTAATGGTCGCGTTTCCTATTTGTATTGTACTTTCGAAGAGAATATTCGGTCAATCGCGGCTTCTTCACACGTCAAAAATTATTTTCCCTAGTTTTATTTGAAACGTCCCAATTCTTATAAACATTCAAAGAGATTCGACACTATTGTAAGGCAAACAACTGTGAAAATTAGTGATCTCATAATAACTAATTACTGCATTCCTGTCCAGTTAAGTAGGCGCAAAAATATAGGTTACAATTGGAGAAAGGTGAAAATGAAACGAACAATCTGAAGAATTCCGTTCAGTCAAATGTCTTATGTGTGTGGTCGTATAGCGATTGTCCGAGTTGACAGCCTTGAAGGGATATGATAGACTAGCCATTAACTAGTTTGATCCTCGACTGACTACTAAGTGTTCATAACTTTTGGCTCTGAAGTATGTCTTTAACACCTTTTTAAGAGCATGCTCCTGCTGGAAGCACATCTTTTTTTTACCATATGTTGTACTCACGCCGCAAAGTTCGTTAGTTTTGCTAATTGGAGAAATCAATTGTATTATACCTAAAAAGCTCGATCACTCGAAATTGATGACACTTTGTCTAGTCCTCAGAGTCGTCCTATGTTTGCTCAAAAAATCATATTCTGCTTTTGCTATACATTATTAGAAACCCATGTGAATACAATTATTTCACTTTTTATCTTCTGAAGACTACGGATCGCTCGATCAAACGTCTGCTCCGAGAACAAGCAAAATCATTGTCGGAGCCCTCGCTCACAGCTGCCGAACTGCGGCAGTGTGTTTGCTTTCAAAGTGGATCAAATCGAAGCAGAAGTTCGGTAGCTGAAGCTGTCGTCGTCGTCGTCGCTCCGAAAGCTGTCAGAGACAAGAAATTTTTGTACCGTTGTACAAGGGCTCCTCGGCAAGCGATTACTGCATAGTAGTTGTTATGCCTCAAATTGATAGAAAGCGGCAGTTGTGAGTGCAATCACCATCGGTCATGTAATTTCGATTCTGTTGTTAGTGTGCGTCCTGCAAGCGCACAAAAGAAGAAAGAATTAGAAAAAAAAAATGTAAAGAGAAGTGTCCTGGTGTATCCGTGTGAAAGGCTCCAGTTAAAAAAGGAGGAGAACCATCAGCAGCCGCCGCCGCAATAGTAATGGTATTGGAGACTGCTTATGTTGTGGTGTGTCTCTGCTGTTTATACGTGGCTTTGGATGTTCAGTATTGAATTAGAGGGAAGACGACGTTGCTCATGCTGTCTGCATACAATTGGAGCTTCAGTCTCGACGAAGAATTTAAAAAAGAATCTTAGTTCCAAGAAACCCTGTTGGTACGTTCTGAGCTAGGTATCTTTTTATTGATTTTTCTTGTTTCGTTCTAACTTGGTGTTGACGCGTAGCATTTTTGATAAATAGGTAATTAGACAGTACATAGAAATTGCTGAGGCTAAAACGATAGTGGTTTCAATCGATGGAGTTTTCAGTTGTCATGGTCATTATATTCAGAACTTATGGAAAATAAAGTGTCAGGTCGTGTCGTGACACAAGAACTATCATGTTCTACTATGCCGCCTAATTGGCATAAGTTACCTCTTGCACACGTAAAATCTTCTACGGGATAGATGCCACCAGTAATTAAACATCCACTTCTCGGAGTTCCTGTAGCGGAAATGATGTGAGCATAATAGAGGTATTTTCCACCACCGCGTATGCGTGGGTAATTCAATTTGAGTTTAGTTGTACTGAGTTTGTCCAATCGAGCCTCATTTTAGAAAGTGAAACTGCTTTATAAGATTGTCATTTTAAATGATACTCGATCTTTAGCACAGCATCGTAGACCTGTCTGAAATAAGTTGCTCTCATCTGTTCAAAGACCATATCATAGTATAGGTAATAAAATCATTTATTGTTTTTATTTGCGTTAAACAAAAATGATCACGCACGTGACTAGTTAAAGTCATGATTGATCATAAATGTGTGCGAGCCGTAGGTCATGAGTTCTATATGTTTTGGGAATAGCTTTCAAACCTGCTGTCGAAGTTTTTCTACGGACGCATCAAAATACTAACAATGATCATACGATTGTTGATTCTGGTCAACGCCAGCATCGAAGCCAAACCCCCGTAGAAGGCTATTAATCGGTTAGAGAAATACACTTCACGCTGTGAAGAGATTCTATTAACCAATTCGAATAGCTACTATTCGAATGCGGTTCCGTTGCTAAATGCAGCAGCATTTGTTTTGTTTCGAGGCCTTTCGTTGAATCAAGACTAGTAGAAAATATATTATTCGCTAGAGTGGAATAGCAACAAGTTGCGTGCCAAGCGATTGTTATAGACCTTGTATAACACCGACTTGTTATTATTTCAAAAGTTTATTATATTTTCACTTCTGTTTCGTTTGTAAAGAGCTTAACCAAAAAGAATCGTAGTGTTATGTTTGATAGAGAGTGGGTCGTCCATAAAAATCCTTCGATTTACTTTTATAATGTCCCAAAAATAAAAATTTGAATATAGAACTTATCCGTTATCGGTGTTCTTACTTTAAAGTCTCTTCGAAAAATTCTGCACAATGACATATGAAGAATGGGCATTGAACGTCCAGGAGCGATTTCAGCCCGTATGCGCTGCCCATATATTTACTTCAAATTGTACCAAGGCACGTGAATAGCTATGTATATCACGATAATCATAATTCAAAAAGTAACACTGACAGATGACAAATCACTAGCCGAAAACTCTCAAGGAAATCGATGTCGACAAGAAGATTTTAGCAAATAAAGCGCTATATCAAAGCCGTAGGACGTAGGCTTAAGGAAAGTCGAAGCATCAACTGGGGTTTTGTTTAAAACGCAGGGTTTCCTTTGTTACAGACCATTGAAAAGGTAAAATCGTTGAATCTTTTACTACTGAATTTTTGTCAGACATCAACAGCAGCCAGAAATCTGTATGCGTGTACTGTAGCAGAAAACAAACTCTCGTTCCTTCAAAATACATCCGTACGTTTTTTTTGTAAAAAAAGAAAACAACATCCAATGTCATTGTACAACCAGATTCTAAGTAACATAACAAATGAAAAAAAAAATTAGCCTATGTTTATTTTCAAAGATTTGGTAAATATAGTTAAAACGAACTGTGTAAGCTCTTAGATTAGGCAATTGCTTTTGAAGCCTTACTCCTTGTCTGCGATAATTTTTCGCAATTCGTCCACTGAGCCGTAGACGGTAACGTCAAAGCAAGTGATTACAGGTCCGAGTTTCTTGTAAACGATAGACCGTCGCCTAGCTGGAGCATCAGTTGGGAACGCAAGTTCTCCTTAGGGATTACCAACCAAACCGTAACCGTTCGCGATCGAATTTTCTCCGAAGCTGTAGCACCAATCTGCTTTGTCAGCTAGCTAATATACGTGAACGTAAACACCTCTTACTTGTTCCACGGCATGTATGAATTAAGAGACTTATCAGAATTATCCGCACGAGCCCTTCGGCTGTCTCCGCATGTACCACCTCTGAAAACACAGCACATAATTTATAATAAGTAGAGGTAATGAATAGCTATTAATCAAAAATACGGAAATACTTCTATTAAAAAAAAGCATCTTTGAATGATGAGGTTGGGAAACAATGCAAATTATTTCCATTCCCCTTACAAAAGGTTGTACAAGAGGACCCTTAGGTCTGTGTCTGCAGTGAATTGTGTGAATCTTTGTTTACAAACACGTTTGCACAGTTCATGAATCTCAATCGTTGGTCTGCGCATACAAATAAAAATAAAACTAAATCGGTTTTGCCTCGTAATAAATATGACAAATTAGGTTAAAGGCGAATCGAGTAGAAAGAGACATTTGTAATCAACATTTTATTTGCGATCGACATTGAATAGAAAGACATATTAACGAAAAGTATTTGTCAACGCATACTCTACCCTCGGTTACCTGCTCAAACTTGGTGACGATTCATATTTTTGTAATTGATCGAAGTAGAGTGTGATTAAGGTGTTTTTTGTCACTTGACGTACTCTACGATAAAAACAGACTATGATTTTTGTCCCTCACATTCTTTCAGCATTCGACAGCTTCTCATAATTTTCTTATCAAGGATTACCTGACGAACGCTCATTTCCTGAATGAAAAAACAAAACACTAAGGTGTGCCCTTACCTATTATCACTACCGCGCCGGTTCAAATGCTATTGTATCCCCTCCAATCTTGAGTATGGATGGCATGCGTCAACATTTTTAACGTGTGAACCAGATAAACAACCCTTCATAGATATTGTAACCGCAGCATGATTACTGCAACAATGTCAACAATGCAGAATGGGAAACAATGTCATCGCCGATGTTCTGCTAGTTTTGGAACGTCATCGGATCATAAAAACTGCTGTCTGAGGCCCTCGCTGATTGCTGCTATCAGTGCATCATGATCGGAATCTATTGTCTGTGATTCAGTCACTGCTGTTAAACACAACAACAACCTCAACGTTGACGATGACATTAACAACATCGTCCAAAGACTTGGCAGTATCGGACTAGCTGTGCGGTCACTACCTTGTTGTCTGTCTTGCCCTTTTAAAAGTCAATTTTGATTGAGACACTCGACAATAACGATGGAGATGCTGAGTCCTTTCACCAACAACCGAAGTCGATACCGCCGATTTCGCTATGAAAGACTTCCACGCTACGCCATGCTACTATTACTATTATTTGTATTATTGTGATTCTTACTGTTGCGATCGGATGCTAGCGAAATGCCAATACCTATCTTTGTGCATGAGTGTTACTGGTAGGTGTCGTATTGAATGCCTCTGGTCCGTTTTTTCCTGTTTCATATGTTTTGACTTTACTCATTTGACATTGGTTTGTCTTCTAAGTAGACTGTTCATCAAAGGAACCAACGATTTGTTTTTGTTCCGGGTCAGATCAATTGTGCTATGATGACGAATGGGTAGTACCCGAAAAGAATTGAAGTCTAAGTGATCTTATTGCCACCAAATGCAACCTCACTCAACGTCGTAGCCACTATGACGGTTTAAACGTGATATCGATCTTTGAATAAGGTAAATGCTGATACAACACCATGCCATGCTTTTGTACTAATCTTAAGAAGCCCATAAGATATAAGGGCACTTTTCTTTTATGTGTTGTTATTGTTTGTGTTTTTTACGTGCATAATAAATATGTTGCTACCAAAAGAGGCATTTGAACGAAGTTCCGTGTTAGGACTGTCAAATGTACGTGTATACATAAACAGACGTCGCAGGAAATCACATCACTTTCTACATCGATACCGGTATTTTCTTCGGCAGTCAATTCTGTTTCGTCTGAACTGTAGAAGATGCCTGGAGCCGTTAAAGCATCTATCTGGTACACACAGACGTGCAAGCAAAGCAAGTGACCCGATAGCCCCAACGTGGGGTCCATTTTCTGCCGGTGGCGTTTGTCTGTTGTTCATTTTGTAGTAACTTTTCGACTTGTACAGACTCACAGACAGACACCCGTCTTGCAGCAACCAAGACGCACAGCGTAACATGACATTTCAGCCGCTATACGGAGTAACTATTTACGACTGGCCACTTCCTGCCGTTAGAGCACCGTTAATTTAGTGCAGCGTAAAAGTAGTCGTAGGCTACCTGCCGTTGTCCCTGCGGAAAAGCATGGCAGCGACAACAACAGCAGCAGCGAGATTAACCACAACAACAACAACAACAATAGGATACCAGCAGACTAAAGATCTTCGCAGACATCAGGTATTGCTAGGTCCATCTGACACTAACGTTTGGTATAGCAACGGCAGCAGCACAGGAGTGACGCTATTAATAGCTCCCGATTTTTTCTTGCGAGTTGGGGTCGTTGCAATGATGTCCCCTTACTGTTACCAGTACTATGTTTGTTAGAATCACCATGTGAACAACTCTGAACTTCCACAGCTTTGAACAAAAAAGAGCAAACTTATGATAAGAGAAGAAATCGCGATACGAAATAGATCGAACACTGTCGCGAATGCCCGAAGTTGAAGTACTATAGCACTGCTTTTACATCTGGCGCTGCTGCTGCCCGTATCGGGACGCGTCGAGGACGCATCACATTGTATCCATGTCGTGGTAATAGATGTTGTTGCTGTAGGTGATGTTTTTTGCAGTGGCCAGTAATCGTTTGAAATAGTTGTTTCATCGCGCGCACGCTGCTTATTATGTTGGGTTCGGCCCGTTTAAAAACGTTCAGATATTTGCTACTGGAGGCAGCGATGGCAGCAAATACTTCGACCACAACTAGTCCAAATCGCGGCCGTTGGAATTTCGTTGGCCATTCGACAGCGCCGAGTCAACGGTAGTTGCGATAGTAATGGAAGGAATCGCTTCCTCTGTTGTATTAAAGCAACGTCTTCGCTTAGTGGAAACTAAAAAGGAGCTCATGGGGATCACGGTAAGCTGGAATGACTACCAAATAGCGAATTTTTCGTTATTGAAGACGCCAGCGACGTCGCATCATGATTATGGCGACTAAACGGCGCGGGTGCCGCAAACTCTCGTTAAATTCGACGGCAGCATTAGCGGAGGTGGCGGTGCTGGAGCGTTTTCGGACTGGCGAGTTGCAATTCATTCATTGTGGTGTAAGAGCTAGCCTCTGACTAGCCACCGAATGATGTCATGTGGACACAAGAACTACGTGCAGATTCACACAGCATTTGAATCGTCCAGCTAATGTGTCCGTACTGTTGATTGCAAGAGTCAGTCCCGATAAAAAAGATGGTACTCTATATTGTCGTATTTCAGCCATGGCATCATGTTGCGTATCTGATTAACAATTGATAACAGGACTACAAGGCTTAGCTGTTGCTGGTCGGGGATATTTGCTGATGGATTTTCTAGGAAACTCGCCTATCCCAGATCTATTTCAGCAGCGTTTAGTTGTCTTTTTAATGCTCTTATCTTTATCGTCCTGAGATATAAGGTAGATTTTCTTATCTATTATGGAACGAATAGACGTATAGATGTATATTTTCGCTCTGCGAGCGTGTGAAGTGAGCAGACCGTGAGCTTTGCCTTAACGGCTTAGTTGTTTTGTGTCAAAAATGTCTGTTCTGTTTGAATGCTTTCTTACAATCTGCGTCTAAATATTATATATGTCGATTCCAAAGTTGAATTATAACAGATTGGTCTTTAGATGGATATGTACAGGCAGGAGTTTTTTATTTGCAAATACCGTATTGATGAAGCAGGATAAGACGGGAAACCGTTACAAATATATATTTGTAGTTTTTGATCTTGTTCCGTTTAGCCCATGTTTTAGGTTAACAAAACGAGGAAAAAATACATTTGCGAGATTATGAAATCAGGGCAATCTAAACAACAATTAAAAACAGATTTTCAATAACAGTTAATAGCAGTCCAAATAAGTCAATCAATAACAGACAGCAACGTGACCACAGACCGATGTAAATCAACGTGCTTATTCTGTTGGCACCGGAGGTCTTTAACGCCATGTGAATGCGTCCAACTAAATGGACGGGAATTTACATTCTTATTTTTGCCTGACGAAAACGCAGTGGTCACGTCCGACTCAAATGCCCAGAAATGCACAATGTGTCTACGCACGTTGCGAACAGACAGAACGAAGATGCCGATTTTGTTGAAATAGTTCGAGATTAGACATCAGTGTTTATACGAAAAAAATTTTTTTACTTCAGGTTCAATTTTCATTTGTCCAAAGAATGTTTAACCTTGCTTCAGTTATTGTTTGGACCAGGACAACGAATTAACGACGACCATTCACGCTCATCACGATCATCTTGTCGACAGGAGTGCAGTCAAACGTAAGAGCCAATAACTCTCTGAGAACGAAAGCGTAATTTGTAAGACAAAAGCCTATTTAACGTTTACTGAGGCATTCCTTACCTTGCTCTCTTGAATCTCCTGATCACTTTTCTTAGACTAGCCCTAAACGAAAGCCGCGAAGTGATTCTGCCTCCGGCCCTCTATAAACATTGTCTTAACCATTTACAGCTGCTCATCAGCAGGCTTTTCCTCTAATATCTATATGAGAATGTTACTACGTTTTCAATTAATTATACTAAAAATAAAGATAACGGAATTACGAATTTCTAAATTCCAACGACGTTTTGTAACATAGTTTAGTCTTTATTGGAATAGGAATTCACAAAGTGGTTGCAGAAATATGAAGGGAACAAATAGTACTCTTATAGGCTTCTCTTGTTCATTGTTTGTGGCCGCCTGTTATAGCATTGTAAAACACCACACTTTTGCATTGCAATTGTCTCAGCCATCGACCTGTTTAATCCACTTGTTTGTAACCATCATCCAATCATTTGGTCTACCTATTTTAGATTTGATTTTTACACAAGATGTTGTCTGTAATTTGCATAGTACCCTCTCTATATACGTGTACGTATACGTGTTTTGTTTCAGTGACTTCTTTCCATATTCATAGTGTTTGTACATCTTTATTTTTCTTTCTTTGTGTTTTAATATATCTAATCCATCCAAGTTCTTACGTGACGCCCACCTCAAGCTGGTTGGCTCAAGAGTAATCTAGTCAACATGATAACTCATGCTAAATGATCCATGCATTTTTATCCATTCTGTGCAATGTGTGGCAGTTTGGACTTCTCCACACTGATTTCAATCCGGTAGTTTATTTCTGTAATGCTACATTTGTGACATTTGTGCCAAGGAAACGCTGGAAGACTTGAGGATTGGTTAAGCTTCAAAACCAGCAGCAGATACATTTCGAGAGGGTGGCCAGTCCTTCTTTTGGAGCAATGCTTAGCGGGAGTAGATTCAAATGTAAAATTCGAGGCCGTTATCTTTTAAATTGGGTAACACATGTCTATTGTACACCTGGGTAAATATAGACAAAAGGTGGTTATAATAATAATATTAATATGACGATTAATTATTTTTATTAACAGTGTATTCTAAATGCAATTTTACATATATTCATTTGTTTAGAAGTGTTTGTTGAACATAAGTATTTCTAAGAGCTACATATGTAACGAACTAAAGGAAAATTTGCTAGCCTGGTTCCATATGCAAATTCTTCGCGCCAACGCGTTGACTCTAATTTAGTACGGGTATTCCCAGCCTGTTAGGTTCTTATCTAACAATATCATTGGTTGCTGCACTTCAGTATACTAGTGTAATTTTACATGGGGAGCCGCGCCTGTTTAGCTTGCTGACAGCGTCGATTCTATCTATCGTTGATTCCTCTAACTGAATGCAAGACAAATCGGCATGAACCAATGTACATAGAACTCTGAACAGATTCGCAAAATCTTGCACGTCAACATAAAAGATGTGTAGCAAAAGCGCTACCAAAATAACAACATCAACCAAATTAACCCATGCATCGATCGGTAGACCTATCCATTCTGTTAGCGTGTATGTAAATGTCGTCGTATCGTCAAGCACAGTAATATTATTTGTTTCTGGCGTTACAGGTTATTCCTTCTCATTCTTATTATTATTATTGTCCCTACTTCGTTGGTACTGCCATTGTCATCGTGTTCATGCCTAAAGTGCCATACCCATACCAAGCGAATTGGGAACGCAAACGACAACAAATAAGAAGCTACCAAACGTTACCGTCATTAACAGAAGTAGCAAGAGACCGAGGACAGCTATCAGAAGGAGCAACGAGCATCGGCCAGCAATTCTGTTCTGCCAAAACACACGTTACAATTCAGCGTCCTGTGACTGTTTATCTGCTACTTCTGTCCGCCCTCCTTCTACCATCGCTTGCTGCGCTACTCAATAGGGCTGTGGCACAACCGTATGCGCTTGCACATTTGTATTTTCTGCTAAGTTTCTTTTTGTTTTTGCTGCCGCTGTTGCCGTCATTACTATGAACCACTTCCCATCTTGTCCTTTTTGGTGGTGCATTTTGTGCCGTCGTTTGCTGTCGTGATGAACTCCGCAACCATCGCTACGGTCAGTGCTGCCATCTCCTTTGAGACTTTTCTGCTGTCTCCATCATTGGGCTCTACTACGTGTTCTTTATTCGTGTATAGGTCTGTCTGTCTACCGGGGTGCGGGGTTGTTGGTGTGATTCTCTCCAACTGCCTGCATCTCTTTCTTTTTCATTATTTTTCTGTTTGTCTCCATCTGGCTTTCCTCTGCGGCGCCCGCTGGCTGAATGCCTGACCGTCGGCGAACGTGGCCGGCCCATGCGTTTCCACTTCTGACACCATCGTTTCTCGGGTTAACCTGCGAGCCATGGGCGAATGTCGACAGACGGTAGCCTTCGTTTCGTGCGGTCGTTTCCTCACTTCTTTACTCATTCAAACACTCGACACTGAAAAACGAACGGAGCGTCACCTCTTTCTTTACGCTGTTCCAATGCTGCTGGTCGACGGATACCGTTGTAACTATTCCATAGATGAATGCTTATGCATGGTCTAGAACAAGCAGCAACAGCCTACCACAACGGAGAGACTGTGCTAGCTAGGCGAATCATGGTTACGTTGCGGTCGCGTAGTGGTGTCTGCTGTAGAAGCACCCCCTAGTGTAAGGTCTGGTACCATGTATGTAAGAGTACCTGATACGTGCCGCGTGCGACGAAGTGGGTCTGTTACTGGCCAAGGGCCGATGCCCGCCTTGTCTCGTCTCTGACAGACGGTCTGGGACGCTCTGCCGGTTTTTGGTGTCTCCTCCATAATTATAAGTGGCAGTCACCACTGTTGTAGACGATTCGCTGCTGTTTGCCTCACCTTCTGAATGCGGAATTAAAACAGCGCTGCATTAAAGTAAATGGAAGAGATGATGATACGAAGATCACGTCTGTTTTAACGGGCGTTGTAGAGGGTGGGCTGCTGGGAGCAAACGACTCCAGCAGAAGGCCAGAATCATATGCCGAGAAAAGAAGAGCCGAGGGGAACAGAAAGCGGAACATACCTGTCCATCTGGCGTTTCTTTTTTTTTTAATATAAAAATTGTTTATGTTGTTGCTTAGCATGGTTATTGGAGTTAGGAAGTTTCTCTTTGAAGCTGGTGGCTGATGACCCTATCACCCTATAACAGCTCCGACTGTACCGAAATAAGTATGTCGCATTATCGCTGTATTTGGTATTGTTGTATTGTTATTCTTATCATTATTATTATCACCGTGGAAGGATTGACATCTCATTTCGAACAGCAGCCACGTCGTCACACACAACAGATCGCCGGGCGATCGTCGGATCAGTAGCAATAAAAAGTGTGGGGCTGAGGACAATCAAACCCGTCATATATTTGGTAGTAGACTTTTTGAACAAAACAACACGTTGAGAAGCTGGCTAGCTGACTGACGGGTGAAAAGCAGGAGATGCTGGAGCTGTTTCTTGGGACAAACGGGCCGTGGTCGTCCACGAGGATATCGTTGAGAAACGATTTACGGTGGTTTTAATACAAGGAAGAATAGACGAGCTCATCCGGCTCGGCTAGTCTAATGCCCCCCCAGCGCATATATTCTGCGTCGTATGTCCGTGTAGCATTTGCATTAGAGGCGACAGGGAACAACCGAAAGTTGTATTTATGGACAAACAGCTTGGCCAGCTTGTTCGTAAATCAGCGTCAGGTGTCAAGTTCGACGTTACGACATATTGTATAACGGAACTGTAGAGAAAAATGTCAGGAAAGAGGTCCTGATGGTTTTACAACGTAATGTCCTACGATAGTATTATGTTATTACATTAAGTAAAGGGCGAAAGTGAACCCCAAACAATAACGAACTTTTGCTACCTTTCGTATTGTCCTGAACTTTTTACCGTTCTTCGCCGTAATCCTACGACCTAATCGGCTTTCATAGGTAAACTTGTGCAATAATTTTAGTTTTATCACTGCACCTTCACTAGAGACAGGACCGTGCTTTTACAGGGAAGTGAAATTTTAATATCTGTTCTATAATTAAGGCACGGCGGCTGCTGTCCCGCGTTTTTATGCTTACCAAGGTGTGGTAATGAAAAAGTACAGTGCTTTCTGGTCGTGTCCGAACAAAGCTTGAGAATACAAACAATCAATGTGTAAATTGCACCCCAGGCGTTCAGTTGAATTTGCACACTGTCTATAATAAGGAGGATATTATTTTGTTGGTCTGCGTTTGCCCGATAATTTTGCACAGACTCCTTTGGCGTAAGTAAAGGAAGCAGGTAATTACGCCAAAAAGAGGCTCCGATGTTCCAAGTAGTTCATTTCCGTATCTAAACTTTGGTATCGCTTGCTGATATCAATATATAGAAGACACCCACGTGTTTATAGATTTTTAAACATCTGATTTTATTTTCTTGCCTTTTCTTATGCAACACAATTTATGAGAGAACGTGTGGTAGAAGTTGAACCAACGGTTTTTATCTTTCTTTAAAGGCTCAGCTGTCTAAGCGACCGTGACGACACCGTTTTTGTAAATTTGCAAGATCCCACGTCTTCTGCAGGTAGTTCTGACAGTTCTCATCGCCAGGAAATGAATATTTACACAGAAACGATGATCAAATTATTTAAAAAATCCGATGTACTTGTTCGTCTCTAGATACAGAAGCTAAACAATATGGTCTCAGTTATGTATGCTAACTATTATAAACAATCAGAAAATACTCTGCCATATTGCTTGCTTTTTTAGCATCTTAAGTTTAACGAACGAATAAACACTTCATCACATCTTAATGATTGTTTATGCTGATTGCAAAATTGATGACTGATCCATTTTAGAGTGCATGGAGGATCCACCGTGATTTAGTTGGTCGACGACGTGCAGAAGAACGACAAAGTCTCTCCTTCCTTCAGGCTTCCATCGTTGACAGATAACTTACCAGCTACTGTCAATACAAGCATGGAGGTCTTAACAGCAGCTGTATCGACGATGATCTGGTCTGCGCTTGAATCGATTTCCGTTATTCGCGACCCATAAGACGTTCTCCAGCGCCCGTGCAGAGTTAACCGCTTTCATATGGGCAATTGAACAGCGGTGACCGATCTCAAACTGACCACGAAGAACGGGTAAACACCGTTCTAAGTGGGGGGAACACATGGGTTGGCGCGGTAAAATTAGGAGCTGAACTATAGGGGACGTATTTACGGAAGCAGGTACTCAAGAGAAAGTTTAATCTATCGATTGGGGTGCTCAAGTTCTAACGCCAAATTCAGGGAGATCATAAAGCAGCTAACGACAAATGCAAACTCACGATGTCGGCTTTGGAACTCGAAAAGGCGTTTCTCGAATCGCCAATTGCCCGGTGGACCGCGCAATTTTATTCGGGCAAAAGCGCCATCTCGTTGGCGCTTTTTTGCAGCGGCGAGTTCCTTTACAATGACATCTGGGTGCAAATCGACAGCCAAGCCAAAGAAACTCCCGTGGGTGAGTAACCGAAATGAAATTGTAATGAAAAAGCAATTGTGGAAACGATAAACAGTGCTGCTGTATAATAGAAGTCTCCTGACGAACTTAATCAAATGTGTTATCATAGGATACAATTGAATGAAGGGTTTGAAAACATTCGTTTGGTGCTTTGAGAATTTCTATTTACATGAAATAAAGTGGCAGTAAAGTAAAATGTAGTAAGCACGAATTATAAAAACTAAGAACAAGGACTCCTAAATGGTCAAGAAATATTCGCCTACTGTTTATCTATATACATACATCGCAATTTCGAAATGTGGGCAGCACTTTTACGTTCCGAAGTGAAAGTGGAGGAACTATTTTTAAGCGTCTAGTTTGGAGACATTTTTTTAAATGTAGCTGTTTGCAGCGGTATAAATTAGAAATAAGTCCTCTTCTTATCCGACTTAAATAAACCATTTAATTCAACTCTAAAAATAATTTTGCACCTACCATGCAATTAGTACGCATCATTTTGACGTGCGAACTTGGCAATGCTTTGCCATGCTTAGTAGCATCATTGTTTCAGACAATCATCTACTTTCTTTTATTTCCGGCACCCTCTTAGAAGGCGAACGCACCAGCGGAGCTTACCACGGGGAAACTGAACGTTTCCTTCTCTTAGGCAGTATACTAGGGCTATAATATTTTTAAAGGGAAAAATCTTTTAAGCAGCTTTCGTTGTAGTTTCCGGTTAGTTGAATACAAGCTGGGTTTATTTTAGTATTTTAATCGATTATCTAATTTATTTTAGCGTCGGATGACATTGCAACTCGGACTAAAACACTCCAGAGGTTACTCGAGGCGATGCTGAACTTTTACAAGAATCATCTAAACCAGGTAAAATGTATCGTCATATTTATTCTAAATTTGCACTGGACGAAATATTTCGTATCTTGCAGGATTTCCTAGTTAATGACCGTCTATAATATATGCTCTGTATTCAACACGCGTGCTAAATCTATCAATAAAGCTGTAATTACGTATCGTAATAACTTCGATTATGCTACCAAAACAAACACTGGGAATGTCCATTATTGTTGACTTTTAGGTGTTGGTACTAAAATTGCCAGATGTCCTGGTACTTGCGCAGTACTCCGATTCTTCGAAAACGAAAGCCGATGCAGCGCGACAGGTCCGTCTGACTGATGATTATGATTACGTTGTCCAATTTAGATTACCTGTTGTAGCGATTTCAATGATTTCGTTACTCCTGGATCAAAACAAATTCGTGCTCACTAGTAAGGTCTCGACATGCCTGCTTGCAACCTGCTTGAAACTGTTCAGCTTAAATATTAATTTTTCGTATAAAATGTGCACCATCGTGAAGGTTCGACCTACTGGTGTGACATGAGTGTGGGGCTTCTTTCAAGACAGATTTTTAAAAACGACAAATATTCTTCTTCTATAAAAATGATTTCGGCTTTCCAACGAGCAGTGAAAATTTCCAATCAATCAAAACAGTTTATGGGTTTACGGGGTAACCTACTTTCCATGTTTTATGGTGTTACAGTTGCACTTGTTTGAACTCGGTTAATAACATGTTAGTTAACGTTCCCAACTGCTCTTTTATCCTGTATTTTCCAAGCCCGCTAAGCTGAAGTTGCCGCTACGCGAACTTTGAACTAAAAACGATATGATTCGTCGATAAGGCGATGTTTGTGGGAAGTCGATAGTATGAGATTAAATATCCTGGCGCATCATGAGATTCCTTACCCCAACACTTTTGCAGTTATCTTTGGCTTTCGTATTATTATGGTTCACCCGATTAGCATAGCGGAGTAGCGGACAGAGCTGGGCGCCAGCAGAGTGCGCCGCAACTTCAACATGGCACTGATACGTTTACTGCTAGACATTGGACAGAGTTAGCCTACCCATCGGGCATATCACATGCTCAATATCGATATTGTTGTGAATTTCTGTTAATTTATTGTTTATTGTTGAGTTTTATGGCTGGTTTCGCTCGTGGACAATTTAGGTCACGTAACAAGAGACCGCAAAGCTAGCGTGTGTCGCGATTTACATAGTCCACCCTCCTTATACCGAGATATGCGTTTTTTTTTTTAAAATTTGCTTATAGTAGTAGTATAACTAGATAAAATGTAATAAAACATTTACACAAATGCACAGTAATTAAAATTACTCTAATTGGTACGTTCCCGGATTTATTGCCTCGTTTTGGGATAGGCGGTCTCGGAGTTAACCTCTCTCTTGCTGTTGCTTCTGGGTTGCGCGGTGCAATGTGATCGGAAGGAGGACTTTATAACGTCGATAAAGAAACTTGACGTTGCGGAGCAGACTGTGCTTATGGAGTCTATTCAGCAAATCGCCGATAACCCAGGTTAGCACGCTCTTCGCTTAGGCGATAGGTCGGCCTTTGCTAAGCAACTGTAGAAACTGGACTAACATGTTTTTTTTAACAGTTTGTGAACGTCCAGGCGCCAAGAATGAAGGGTGTTTTCTTGTATGGATATTTTCTATTGCGGATTACATCTTCTGTATAACTTATTTTTATAATAAAGAGTGTTTTTGCTTTGTACTATTTGTTGGTTTTGCAGGGGCGGTGTGGCCAAGAGAGGGAAACTCGTTGGATGACGGTGCCATGTACGCCGCACTCGTCGACAACGTTAGAAGGTGTGTTTGTGCTAAAAGGGATAACCCGATAAAAGTGACTGACATAGTGGCAGATTCGATCGAAATAGAACATTTAACTAATGACGATTGTAGCACCAATTAATAGGCAAGAATAAATTAAAAGTTCTTAGTTAGCGAAAAACAACTAGTGATTACTACACAATATATAAAATCATCTAAACATTAACAATTAAAAACATAATTATATTTATATAACTCTAAGGGTTGCTTTAGCCTCAAGCGCAGCATACACTAAGAACCAGTCACGAAACAAAGACATGAACCAACTGGAAAGGTTGACGTAACATGTGTCAAAATCGTACATGATTTGTTTAATTAACGTATCGTACGTGCTAACAATTTTTTGTTAACGCAGATTAACGGATGAGCGTGATTCGCTGGCAGCCCATTGTATTCAGCTAACTCTGGACACTCTCTCGCTAAAGGAACGTGACCTTCATCCGCCTCCTAGTCCAGTTGTAAAGGAGAACTCGGGATTGACACTAGAGTTGGCGGACACGAAGAGTCGCCTTCGAAGGTATATCGATATCACATATACGCGCAACTCTAGAGCAATATTCCTGCGAACAAAACATTTCTTAAACTAAATTGGAATTTTCGATAAATATTGTTGTAAAGCTAATGCGTATAAATAGAAAAGGATACAGGTAATCTTCGTTAATGTAACAAGTACCACTACACTATAATGATGCATCGGGCTCAACTCAGTTGATTCAATTTTATATATATATATATACATGCACCTAAATGGAGCGAACGATAATTTCGTCATAGTGGAAGGCAATGGAAAGTAACGTTTTCGTAGTTTGAGCGAAAATGAGCTATTATCTGATGTATTCGTGCTGGGTGAACCTCCCACTAAGAAACTTCTTTTTTTGCCGTAAACCTGCAGTCCACGTTCCCTTTAATTTCTGATTAGTATTTTAATGACTAGTAGTTAAGATAAAATTTATTTGCGGAAAGCTAGAAGATCTCAAGAAGTGTTATATTTGAAGACTGAAGAATTCATTAACATGGTTAAAAAGGCTGTTTTCGTACACCTAAATTTTTTAAACAAAAATTAACAGTCGTCTCAAAGAATACCAGTTGCAACTTGGGTCGTTTTGGTAAGCTCCAAAAGTTATGTCTTTTTAAGACTTTTATGTTTCCTTCACCTTTTGGACCTATATTGAACTCTCTCTCTTATATCTCTCTTATCAGCCTAAAGTTTTATCCCGTTAAATTTTTCTTATGTAGCGTATTTGTATGATATTTTGTGTCTTTATGCATACCAATATGGCTTAACACACTGTTACAATTAACAAGTTATTTATGGGTTAAAGAAGATATCTTTTTTTTTTTTTTAGAGGTAACTAATGTGTAATTCAAGTCCTGAAATCATATTGTAATCGCGATGAATAGCAATTGTATTGAATAAACATGACCGTTAAGAACGACACTTCTAGTACATGTAAAAAATACTGTTGAAGTGTCGCTATATATTTAGGTACTTTAGGTAGTTTAAAAACTAAGCTTCCGAAAAAGTTTTAATTCATGTGGCATATATATATATATATATATGGCACATGAGTTGGAATATAAATATATATAGAGATGAACGTTTCCGGTTTTTCTTGCCGTACCCTTGCTCTTTTCAGACTTCAGCACGAGTACGAGGAAAAGATAGAGTTGTTGTCAGAAGTAAAAGAAGAATGCGACCAAGTCAAGGAAAACCTTCAAAGATTACGGCAGGTGCGTGAATATAATACAAGTTTTTCTAGCAAGTCAGTTCAGGAATGTGAAGGTTTTTGTTGGACTTAATAGTTTTTACTAATCCCTTTTTGTTAGTATATGTGGAATGAGTATAGTTTACTATGTATTAAAAGTACTTAGACAAAAATTAGTACGCAAACCTTTAAGCAGATTCGACTAGTAAGATGTTGCCCTAAATATCATCTACAAACCCCTTCTTTGAGCTCGTAGGAGAATTTCCAGCTGGTTCAAGAGTCGAGATGCGCAAAGGCTCTTCGAGACGAGGTCGATATATTAAAGGAACGATGTCTGCGATACGAAACGATGGAGTCGACGATGCAAAAATACAAGGAAAAAATCAGCGACCTCGAATTCGTCCGCAGCCGCTGTGACGAGCTCAAGGAGGACTTGAGGGTGACGAACGAAACCAAGTACATGCTTGAGGAGCAAGTCAGTGAGATTAGCACAAGCTCCGATTGGAGCGCTAGATTTTTTCCTTTTACAGAAAAAAGATGGCATTATTTAATTAGAACTCAAAAATGCAAGCATGCAAGTGTTGTATTGAAATATCGGCTAAGCACACTACTCTTATGGTAATAACGTTGTCTTCAAATTTTGCTCTTTTTTCCTGTGCCCGTATATTCCCGATATTCTGACACAAATCAGTTGGAAACATCAAGAAAGAAACTTGAAACGGTTGTCAGCCAGGAGTCAGAGCTGATCTCGCTAAAGGTGGAGCTGAGTGAGGCTCATCTCGAACGAGACCTGGCAAATGAACGTCTGCATCGTCTGGCTGAAGAAATTTCTCAATTGCATGTTGACAAGAAGAACCTCGTCGAGGAGATATCGCGTCTGCAATTAGAAAGTACGCATAGAGAGACTGATGATGATGAGCAGGTATGTGATAGTTTATCTACGTGATTGAGCAGAAGGCTATCGGAAATAGGTAAAAGTTCAAAATCGGACGCAGATGCGCTCTGGTTCGTACTGGAAAAAACACAAATTTAAAGCAATATCAAATCCGAGAGTAGTGGGTAGGAAACTTTAAGCATTTATTTAGAGACATAACATTTTTCCCTAGATTGAGATTACTGAACTTATAGAAAGCATGAGTTGAATAGATAACCAGCAGTTATTTTAGCACCAATATCTCTTTTATTTGATTGTTATATTTTTAATTTTTAGGATAGCAAGATAGCATTCGAGGGTCCGTCGTTGCTTGAGCAGATGCACAATGACACGTTAACTAGATGCAACCAGCTTGAACTCGAGAGGGAGCGGCTGTCTTGCACACTCCAGGAGAAGGAACGCGAGACCGACAAACTGCAGGGGGACATTGTTTCACTCAATCTGAACGTGAAGCATCTACAGCGTAAACTTGAACTCGCGCAGGCTGACTGCACCAAGCTGCACGACGTACGCCGCTATAATTCCACACTTATTAAATAATTGTTGTCATCCACGTAGTCTTATTTTTTTTAGGCTTATGAAGTGCTTTCATATATGTGCGCCTCTGTTGTAACGAATTGTAGCCATTTCTATTTATAAGAAAGATCGATCTTTCCTTTGTCTTCTTTACGTTATTTTATGAAGCATTAGTAATGTGCCCTCAAGTGCAAAGTTCGACCGGGCAATTCACTATGTGTAAACTTATATGTCTCATGGTTGCGGAACGTGGAACTCCGTAGCGTAGCTGATATATTTACCATGGCTATTTGCAGTTATGTAATTATAATCTCATTTTCAGGTCGAGCAACAGCTTAATGCAGTTAGCTTAGAAAAAACGCGAGTGCAAAGGCAAGCTGAATCGGCAGAAAAACGGTTGGAAGAGGCCCAGAATGACATAAGGTTACTCTTAAGTTCTACGAGTATCAATTACTGCTAATATTATTCACTTTGTCTTCCTGTATGTCTTTAAACACCTTTTTTTGGTTGTAGACCTCACAACAAGCCCTAATGCCACAATTTTTCTACTGCAGTGCCCTGACTAGCGAAAATTCACGTCTGACGGCGTCGCTAACGACGATGAAGGGCACAATGCAACGGGTAAACCAGTTAGAAAAGGAAAAAAACGAACTCGAAAGCCGAATCAAAAGTCTCGAGGACGAAAGACGCGCGTCAGATAGAGAATTGCAAAGAGCTCGACAGAACCTCGAGGAACGAGAACGCGACGTTGATACGCTCTCGGAGAAATTCACCCATGCCGAGAAAGAATTGGCAACGGTTCGCGAAAACCTAGTGACATTTAGTGGTCTTCAAGAACAGTTGGCTGCTAACGAAGTGGAGCTGCACACTATCAAAGAAGAACTATCCATCGAAAAAGCAGCTCTCGTTGATCTTCGCCAGGAGATGATCCACGAGAAAGTGAAAAATGGCTTGTTAGAGAATGAGCTCGAACAGGTTCATATACAGCTAGATAATATGGAGAAGCTGCAACAACAGCAACAGAATAATACGCTTGATGTTACTAAAGGGTCGACGACCGACGAGTATCTCTCTACAGCTTCCTCAGTAACCAGCGGAACCCTTGACGCAAATGGTGGGGGTTCGACGACTCTCAGCTCACCGAGCGTATTTGAGCCAGGCGAAGAGGACGAGCGGATAGATACAGAGGTAAGCAGTGGTCGAGAAATTGTCTATTTGAAAGAATATATAAAGAAAAATTAGAGCAAAATGTTCTATACCTGTCATACTGTATATGCCGTTGGCTGAATTTTAATCTTTGAACCTCAGCCTTTTTGAATTAGAGGTTTGGTTGTTCAAGCCAACGTGCGTGACGTATATGTGGGCAAATTGCCGTTTTTTTAACTTTTCTTCCGGTATTCTGCTACACATGTATATGAGTAAATTGTAGGGATTGAGGTTATAGTCTATGAATATTTTTCAAACAAAACGATAACCAAATATTTATAGGGAGGTTTGTGTAAGAAAACGGGTCGTCTTTGATACCGATCGAAAGTCCTTTATTGACTTCAAATCTTTACACCAATAGACAGGCCTTGACAGGCTGGGTAGAAATGTAATACATTGTGTTTTACCTAAAATTGATATTTTGGCGTGAAAACGGCAAAAACCGAATGTAGCAGCTTTTTCACTTATGTGACACGAGGATGAAAATTTCCTACATGGAATTCTGTCTAGGGTAGATGTTTATTGATACCTGTCAAAAGCTCTCGATGAGCTGAATCGAAATTCAATACATGCTCATATATTTGAATCTATTTGCGCGTTTAAAATGCCGTTGAAAAAAAATGAGAACTTCACGTGGTGTTCTATGTTAGGGAAGTTTTTCTTGACATCAGCCGATAAATCTCGACGAGTTGAATAAAAATGTGGTACATACCTGACACTTTTGCGTGAAAATTGCGAAAATTTTATTAGACGTATTGATTTTCATATGTAATAATGGGATAAAAAAGGCTATTGAATGTCATTCTGTCCAAATCATATGGTTTAGACGCATATTTGAATGTTCTTCTAAATGAAGATATGTATGTTCATTGAAAGGATCGCGTAATTACTTGTTGTCAAAAAAAAGAAACACAACGTTTTAGCCTCAATGACTTCTTAAGAACAGTATCAGTTGGTTGATGACTTCGTCAATGGCAAGGTGTATTAGAACTCGCCCGAGGGCTGACTAAATTTACATACGCCTCTCAGAGGTCCGCCAACGGCTGAAATTTACATACGCCTCTCAGAGGTGCGCCAACGGCTGATCCTATTCACGTACGTTCTGAAAAGTCAATTTGCCAACATCCCGTAATCACGTTGTAGAACTTTACCGAACGCTAGCATACCAGAAACGAGACAAATCGAAAGTTGGCTGAGTTTCCTGGCAAAAATGTCAGAACAGACTCTAGAAATAATTGCAGGGTAATTGTAACAGGATAATCGTTTTCGAAACCTCGAGTTATAGTTTTTGTTAGCCAAAGTAAACGAATTAGATTAGTTCAAACAGTCAACATAAAAAAGGCACAGGGAGAAGCCCGCAGGTTCGTCTAGTCTATCTTTATTCTTGTATTTATTTTTTAGCTGGTTTGCCTTCTGCTGCGGTCATATACTGTTCGTCTTTTCAGATCCTGTTAGGCAGCGCTATTCCCGTTCTCAACGGTGACGCAGAACGCAGCTCAACCGAGTCGGCCGATCCTGCCGTTACAATAATAGGGTCCCTTAGGGCTGGCAGGGAATCCAGTTCGAGTGGACCGTTCTCCCTACCCGCCCCGGGTGCTGAGCTGCAGAGCGGGACTCGAGAGAGTCCAGCCGGGGCGACAAACACAACAGCTAGTTCGCGCGTGGCCGATCTCAAGGACAAAATCGTTCAGCTCGAACACAAAAAACTACAGAGTGAGGCCGAGTGTATGGCCGCAAAAAAGCAACTGTCAGTAGTGAAACAACAACTGCTAAACGCCGAGTATGAAATCGCACAGGAGGTGGCCAAGCGCGAAGCCCTGGCCAAGCAGAATGCTGCCCTACAGTCGCATTTCGCAAGGCTGGAGGTTTGTAGTCCTCCATCGCAATATCCTAATGCATATCAGTCTCACACAGATAATAGTAATAATAATAATAATAATAATAATAATAATAATAATAATAATAATAATAATAATAATAATAATAATAATAATAATAATAATAATAATAATAGGTTGACCAAAGTGTGGCCATTTCGGCGAAACTGCAACTCCAGGAGCAGACAGAGGTGCTTAAGCAGGAGCTAGGGGAGGTCAAGGCAAAACTTCGCGAAAAAGAACTTGAGATCATGCGTACTACCGAGAGTCAAGAAAAGGTGACTAACGACTATAAAGTGTTAGATGCACTGCATAAACAACTTGGACAGGAATTCGAAACCGTCAAGAATTCATTGGCTGCTAATAAAAACGTACAAAAGATACAGAAGAACGAAAATGCAGAACTGCAGCGGCTTGTCAATAAACTTCGAGGTGAGTTGGTTCTTTGTTGTAAAAATCAGGTTTCTTCAACTAAGTGTCTATGTATTATATAATAATTTTTATGACATATAATACGGCAGTCTCTATATGTGGTATATCATTGTAGATCAATTGGAGACCCTGCGAGAGGAACTTCGCGAGAAGGAAGAACTGGCATCGAGCGTAGAGCTTTTACAATCGATCCCAGGCGGTGCCACGCTGACAACATCTGAGCTCCTTCAGGACAACGAGCGTCTCAAGGAAGACCTAAACGCATTGCAAAATACGTACCGACAGCTTAAGGTATAGTTTTTGTTCGTACCGTTTGCATTGGCGATAATCTTCTTGATTATTTTATAGCCGAGCACGAAGTTGCCCTACACAGTTATACGTTATTAAAGATCTACTTTTTGCCCAATCTTCTCGTCAACTTTAGGATGACAACAATCAAAAATCGCTTCGCATCACAGAGCTGCAGGGTCAGCTGCAAAGTTCTCAACACGATAGGAGCAGCCGAGATGTCGAAATTTCCCGACTGACTGCTTCATACCAAATGCAACAGCACGTCAATCAAGTCTTAGAGGAGGAACGCAAATCTCTACTAGTTAAGGTTCATCATTCATCTTCTGCTACTCTATTCATAAAGCTATATCTACTTGGGGCACCATGGGTTTCACTTAGCTCTCAAAGATATCCGTGTTGTCTTAGTCCTTCCACAAAGCTTTTAGATTTCATGATTGCCACAAATGCTGACTTTCAGTGCACTCCAGCAACAATTATTAAAGTCTAACACGGAACAACGGATATATCAATGATATACACACATTTAAATTACATAGATTTATACCATTAACAATTAAGGCATGAACTCCTCTTCTAAAAAAATGTAGCAAACATCCCAGTGTTCGTTTCCCTAATTTTTATAGGTAACGTCTCTTATGGCATCGTACGATCAGCATTTCCGCCGACTTTTAGATGTCATCTCAACTTGTGACAACAGCCAAGGGGCCGAAGAAATTCCTCATAACAACAGGTTACTTAGAAATGTTCGAGCTGCGTACAGCTCCAGTACAGCAGTCGCGTATACATTGTTTTTTATGCGTTTCTATATATTAATATACAATGTATTTTTAGCAAATATACTAATGATCCTTATCCAGACATCTCGTGTAGTACTTTATGCGAATAAACAAAGTTTTGCAATGTGTAGCTTGCGTTCAACCTCAATAAATACTGAGTATTGATTTTTGTGGATTGATTTGACTAACTGATCTCAAATGTTTTATTATCACATAAATATAGCTACGAGCAAGAACGGCTCCGTATGGAGGAAGAACGTAGGCTACTTGAGGATAAATTGTCAGAGTACACGTCCAAGTTGGACAAGCGAATGTGCATCAGCCAAGCAATAAGTTCCCGCAGTTCGACGCCCCTGCCAGTCGAAGGCAGTATCATGGGCAGCGAACCTGGAGGATTGATGAACAGGACGTTGACCACACCATCACCGTTAACTGTGTCAGCACAGCTTACTCATCAGACTCAGGCACCGGTGCACGTCAACCGTACGGTGGAAAACCATACGACAATTAACGTTGTAAATCAGGTGCGTTGTACATCGCACGAACGTGACTATTTCGATGAAAACATTCAAAAACCTATTTTGTAGCTGCTTTATAATCTTTGTGTAATCTAAAAAGCGCCTATTTAATAAACATTTGCTTAGATATTGGCATGGACTGGGTTATATTACTAAATAAAACAATGTCGGGGGGACGCATACTAAGGTTGCATCGCTACCCATTCTGCCACTTCTTATAGCGTCCGTAGTCTTTATAGAGATAGTCTCTCTAATAGACTAATAGTCTCTCTAATAGGTATGAAGTTACAAGGTACTTTAGGCAAAAAATATTCAGGTTATAATATTTTTAGTATAATCCTCAAAATAACTTTGTTGCATCGTCGTAGGTTCACCATTATCCTGCACAGCCACTGACATCTACGCCAGTTACAACCGGAACTTCGAATAGCGGATTAAGCCGCTCCCCAGCTGCGAGGCACTCCATGTATGCACGGGGTTCGCATGGCCTGTATGATAGCGCCAATCACAACCGTCAGTACCTCAATCAACAACAATTCAACGCTAGCAACGGGTCGTCATCGCATCACCATCATCCAGCACTTCCGCAGAATCAACATCAATCATCGTCACACCACGGCGGTCACGGGATAGCAGTTGGGAGTAGTGCAACTGGTCCAACCGGACTGTTCAGGTAGGATAATATTAGACACTAACTAATTTCAGCTCTTTTTCACCAATAAAATATAGCACAAATAAATGCTTTATATTCACTTGTATCTTCCTTTTTCTTTGAGGCTAGAAAGAACCGGCTAGTACGTTCAAGTTACTTCATTGAACCAGTGTGATAGTTCTGAGGCAACTGTAACACCCGATATAAAACTCCAAGCATAATTAAGATGAATATAATATTTTTTTTTTCATTCTGAGACCTCGATATGTACGCATACGAATTTACGCAGTTGGTTCGGAAGCGCTTACGAGTATGTGGCGTATTGACCACGTCTTTTTTTTCTCTAGGACAACGCTACGTAAAGAAGCGGCTGCAGCCGGATTGGGTTCAGGTGGGAGCTTGTCTGACGTGGAAACGCCCTCCCGACGGAGTGCACTTTCTGTTACATCGTCAGGCATCGCCAGTCCCGCTCCGCAGACCACGTCTGCAAGCAATACCCCGACTAAGCAGGACGTCTGGTATGAGTATGGTTGTGTCTAAGACGAAAGCGCGTAGAAAGTGGTAAGTTTTTATTTAGGAGACGAAGAACGATACGCATACCATAAAACTAAGCAACATGAGATTCAGAGATCAGACATTCGTTATAGAGTGTACAAGCAAACGAAATAAAGAATTGTTCCCACTCTGAAAGCGTTGGAAAAATCTGTGATCTGTAAGACGACTCGTTTGAATTGATTGAGCAACAGTCATGTGGATACGGTGTGATTATAATGTGATATGATCACTCCGCGATTTATTTTGACTTGTGCATATATTTGAGTGATGAAGAAGACTTTAGATGGTCTAAGGATTCGAGTTTAGGAAGAATTAGGAGACATTTCTCCCGCCAAAAATAATGGTAACTGATTACGTACTCCGGTGACTAGCTGGCTGCTGTTGTTGTTTTTGTCTAAGATTTGATGTGTGAGACGACGATAAATAACGTAGATAATGAGGCAAAACGAACCGTAAGGGCTAGATATGCGAAAGAAAATTTCTGGTAGAGGACGCGTCCGTTATCGATATCCTCACCTAGAACCCCCACAAGCCACAAGTAGACGCCATTTAGGTCGACGTGGTGACGGAAATGTCACCAACAGTACTATTCTGTTTAGAAATCATTTGGTGAACAATCGCAATTTTACCTTTAAAACCACTGACTTATAGCGCTAACGTGACTCGTTGTTCATGGGCTGTGATACGCAGTCCAAAATGTGTTATTAGCGGATATATGTACAATATGTTGACGCAATTCGAGGTCGGTTCTTCATTGATCTATTCGTTGAGGCGCGGAGGAATGATCGAAGACAAGGCAGCTTCAACAGATAGCACTAAACGTCCATTTAGCGAAAAAAAAAAAAAAACCGAGTATGAATCAAAGGAAGTTTTAGCTATAAAAGCTAATGTTGACTCTGAGATAAAAATCTGGTTCGCGTCACACGAACTAGCTGAAACCATTTAAATAACGACGATGATTTTATTGAAAAGCCTAAAAGCGGGTGAGTGAGATTTCGTAAAGACTCATATAATGAGAGAATCATTTGAGTAAAATAGACGATTGGAGTATAAAAACCATATAAGAGTATAGAAAAGTATACATAGAATATACATAAAAAAGAAGCTTGTTCTTCTGCCAGCCAGACCTTTCGTCACAGACGAAATTTTATTTGTGCACCGGTTGATCGCGTTCTTCTAGCTTCGCAATTTCGCGATTATTCTTAAAACGTACGTTATGAATACGTGTTGATTTGTTTTGCGAAAAGAAAAAAAATGCCAAGTATAAAAAGATGGACGGGCGGAGACCACTTTCATAACTGAACAATTAAACTAGCCAGTTTCTTAGCATTTATTTAATAATGTCAACAATACTAAGGCTGCCGGTAAAGAAAGTGGGAAACAGTAGCACATAGATTGTAGATTATTTATGGATACAGTAGACGCTAACAACGAGAGCACTCTGCTCTGCTTTGATCTGAGAGTTGTGTGCGTGGTCAAGATGGCCGAACACACACACACGTAAACAAAATCTTACCGAGCAATGAACAATGTATTACTGGTTTGAGACAGACCATATTAGCTATGCAACGCACTATGTCAATACCGTCAGGTAGAGAGAGTCATCGTTCTATTTCCACGAAGTAGCATTTTGTAACGTAATTGTGAGAAGAATTTCCATGAGCCAATAGGAATGGGTGAGAGGCATGCTAACATTTTGGTCTTGCATGCGCCATATTTCATTTGCATACAATAATAATAGTTGTATTGCTTTTCTTTAAAACACTGACCATGCAATATCAAACAGTATCAGACATAAATGATCACTATTACAATGATTTTGATGGGTCAATATTCTATGAACTCTATACTAACTACTGTGAATGACGACAGAGATATCGCCATAATTACGCCTTAACCAATCTACTGACACAATGGTTGCTGTATATTTACCTAAATATACATAAATACATAGAAACTCTCTTGTGTATAAAAGAAAGACCGACTCTTGAATAACATGCCTTTATAATAAGAGTTAAATTATAAATTGCGACCAACCCTAAACGCTCTTCTTCTTTGAAGGATATATTTTTTTGTTTGTGCAACGGACAAACATAGCTATTTACGCCAAGTGGTCCTTGTGATTGATGGGTCAGCCTTGGCCTTGGCGTGGCGCCCCACACCTCAAATATTTTTCCGATGAGACGGTGAAACACTGTAAAGTTGAATTGTTGATTGTTTCAACACTGATTGAAACACGCAAATCTGCTTATGGTGATAGCGAAAAGTAATAGTATGAGACACAGCGACCAAAACGTGTGCCAAAAACATGGGCACACTTCAAAAGCAAATGAACAGTGACGAAAAACGAATTGTCAGTTTTTTATGACATTTTTTCCTTGCGGGCTTTTTGTGAACAGGATGAGACATTAATGTGGTACACAGAGTATCTAGCCAGGGGGTAAAACTTGATCTTCGCAATCCAGAATATCAAATCTTTTTATTCCTAGTAATGATAGATACATACACAACGTGATGTATTTATTAGACCTTTGATATTATGGATACGGAGTTTGGATTTGAGTGGCAGTAACGTGGTCCGTCAGCCGAACAGAACGACGATTTTCCCGAAAACTCGGAACAATAAAGCTTGCTTACAATAACAACAAAAATGTGTACTTTTTATGTATATTATTATTATAACAAGTATGTATATATATGTATATATTGCTTGACAGGCTGAAACAATTTCTCGACAACTGAAGAGTCTTTAGTTGCCGCTTATCGAAGTAGCAGAAACATGCAAATGGTAGTAAAGGAGAGCGATTTTAACACATTTGTACGGAAAAGCATTACACCAATACTATGCTTTGGACATATAGTAGAGTATATTTAAGTGGTGCATGTTGAAAGCGTCTGGCTATCTTATCCAACCATTTTCTTTAACACGTATGTTTGTGCATTTCTGTAGCTGAAATGTTTTTCTTCTTAAATCTTTTCTAGATTCCATTCTAAAACCTTCTTTCTCAAAATTTGTTAGTGAACATATCATTTGTAACGTATTAAGTTGCGTGATCCCTCATCTCAACGGTCCTTCAAATACACTGCTGCTGGCTATTTGACACAAGAAATATAAGCACAGTTTGTATCTACGATTTCAGAGTGTAATCCAAAATACTAAATCCAGTTTACCGTACTGGGCACTGTTTTGGCTCCGACCATGACAAAGGCGTGTAGACAAACACGTTACCACTGCACTATCAGGAAGACAAGTTTTGCTCGACCTCTTCGACATTTAACTGTCTTTCGGTTACTATTTGGTGATCCGGTTTTATTGATGGTTATCACGCACGGTACACCACTACTAATTTCTACGACGTTACATAACCACAAAAGAATAGTTATTAATAACAGTAAGCGTGGGCTTTGAATGCAAAATTAATAAATGCCTGTCGGTTACAGGCCTGGCCGTTCTACATAACTTCAATTTCGCTTTTCTTTAAACTTAATAATGCTATCGTTTTTCGGTGTTTATACCCAACAGGACATACGGGAAAAAATGGGCGCAGACTCATAGCGACAATCGAAGTATGACACCTGACGTTTGTCCTATAAAACGCTGCTGGTCCTTCTCAGTTTCAGATATCGTAAACAAACAAATATATGTACTAATAGGTAAAAACTTTTGCTTGCACTTCTCGTTCCGAATAATTAAAAGCCTTGTTTTTCAAATTTCGAATGTCACGTAGGACGACAAGTTCTAATCAAAAAGAAAGTTTGACGGCGGTTGGTAAATTCATGACTCTACTTGGTCAGTAGATCCATTAGCATTGAATCTGGAAAGAACGAAAATGTTCAACTACAGAGAAGTGCAAATACTCGTGCTACATTTTCAACAAATAAGACAAGTTATCAATTACATGTATACGATTGTTAGGCGCTGGTCAATTGCACTTTAGACATTCATCACTGTAACAATATTCCCTGTAATACATCTATAATATACTGCTACATTAATATGATATTATACAAATATAGAAGTAGTATTAGCGTGCCCTTGTTACAAGCATATGACACAGCGAACTCCAGTCCCTGTATCAGCAGCGTTAAAATAAAAATTCTCTAACAGTCAACCGCTTGTTGTCTAAACTGTCAAGAGAAAGTTGCGCACAAATGTTTCAAAGGAGTAACAAGACGTAATACAACGTCAGCGCGTAGCGAACCGCAGCTGTCAATGCTAGTCATCGTTGAGGTATGAAAGCTCCTAACAGGAAAAACTAAAGTGTACATTGGAAGGAAATCTCCAAGAGTGGATGACATAAAAAGTTGAAAAACATCTTCACATTGTCCCGACGACGGTTCATGTTACGTATGCTCGTCCGAATCAGGCCTGCACATATTTACTCTGTTATTATGTGTACGTATACATATAGGGCGGTCCGACGAAATCTTACTTTTTTCGACTTGGTTCTTTTACAAATATGTTTGTCTAAAACATATACCAGTAGACGAAAGTCCGTCCAAAGAGAATGTAAACGAATCTACGCCGTTTTTGAAGTTGAGCCGAGATCAGCTGTTATTCGATCTCCTCGCGCTGAACGTACTCCCCCCCTGCCATGCCGGAACTTCATAGGTTATCCCAAATCGACCGTGTATGGCATTAATATAACAGACTGTTCGTAGGTACATGTCATATATTATAGAAATCAAATAATCGCATTCCAAGAATAAGACCAAAAGATTCGATCAATATCGTGTTAAACATGTAATTGTAATGGATTATGGTTAAATTAAATAAACATCACCTCCAAGAATAGCATATGCGAATCAAATACCTTTGTTTAGATGGTCTTACACATAAAAGATGAGCAAAAGTTGAACTGGGATATCTGCGTTATGTTTTGACGGATGTACTACCTTAATCAGATTCCTTGCCTGAATCCTTTAAATATGTTAAAAAAATATGAATCATACAACTCTACTTTTTTCTAAACGTGCGGCCGTATGTATTTTGTTGAATAAACGAAAAACAAGATTAGTGGTGCTTATCGAATCACTTACGTGCTGTACGTTTTATGCTTCTCCACAAATTCAGACTAGAATTGTGATCAGCAGAGTCTTCTTTTTCACCTTTTAATTCAAACCCGTTTCCTTGACTGTGAATTCGCTAGACAATAGGACTCACTAATCCATTCATACGCGTTTTTAATTAGATTAATAAAAGTGGAATACTCCACCAAGGTGTTACGAGGCAATTCCATTACTTCAGACTCAAGAGGAAAAGAGGTCGCTTTTGTGAAAACATACCCAAGAAACAGTTTTTTTTTACCCTAGCGAGTCTAGGTAACTAGAAAATGCTAACCTATCGAAATATAGCAATTCATTTACATATGTCTAAAAACAATGTGTTGCAAGAAAAGGTTCTATGTTACGTTGATATGGTCTTGTCGCTGTAGGTTCCAGATGCTGCAGTACGATATTCAGAACGCGGATGTTACTGCGATGGCAATTCGCTCCGCTTGTATCAAAACTAGCACAAAAATCATTTGAATAGCTTCATTAGACGGAAGCGTGAAACCATTTTTTTTTTTTTTCACTGGGAAACGAAGAAAACTGCTATAACAACTCATGCAGCCAGGTCCAAGATCTTCTGAGCACAAGCATTGATGCCACTGAGAGGCGTACGAGCACCCTTTTTGAAGGCTCGACCCTACCGCAATAAGCTTATAAATTATTGTTAAATAAATCCATTTGCATGCTGACAAGAATAGCTATCTTTATCTTGTTGGTACGTTATAATTTTAGATGGAATATATTAGTTGTTATTAAATAACCGTAGGCACCAGTAGTATCAATCGAGGCATCCGTCCGTTTCAAACAGTTATTATTTATAGAATGCATAATCATTTTCGATGTAAACGTGTAAAATACAATTAAAAAGTACTTTTGCTACATTATCTAGCTTTCCAATTTTGGCAGATTAAAAAAATTATTTTATCAACTTAGTATCTATTTCTTTTAACTGCTTGACTTTCTAAGTGTAATGGTCAGCTATAAGACCTGGCTATATTTTCGCGAAGTTCCTATCAGTCGAAAATTTACATCGATAGGCCGAAACCTAAGAAAACTAACAACATAATATGTCCCAAACATATGAACGCTTACTTAAAAATCAATCAAAAAAAACAACCAAATCTCAATAGGTCGTACTTCTATTGGACTTCTTCCAGAAACGTGATTTTCCAGAAACAAGGCGATCATTTGAGTAAATAAAAAAAATTACAAAAAATGCGGCTTTAGATGCGATTTGATCGCACCTAGTCAGTGAAGACGCTGACTGATGTTTAATAGGGCAGGTAAACCACTGTGATGATAGGAGCAATTTATTAAGCACTCGAGGTGATCGTCAACCGAGGATATGTACACAAGACTAGTCATTTCGTCCGAGC